AGGAGAAGAGCAGCACTCTCCATCCCTAGCATTTATGTAACAGAATTCATAATGGAAAAGTAGCTTTGCCGGGTTTGTGTGTTCATTATTAGACCAAGCTGTAGTTTGAGAATGGGATGTCTTGTTTGGCCAGCTTTGGATCACATCTGTACCCTGTACCACCTTTCTAGGGTAAAGACCGTATTGACCTTGATATCCACACTGGAAACATCTGGGACTATAGGGAAGCCAAACAGGTTAAAACATTGATTCCTCTATGTCCTATCCTTTGGTTAGCCACCACACATCACGTGTACTCTCTTGTTTCATACATAAAATCCCATAAGAGGTTAACCTTCTACAAGGCCACCATACCATTTACAACAGAGTGTGCACTTAATTTCCTCAACCTAAAGTCAGTCTCCCAAACTTTATTCCAATTGTTGTATCTGGCTCCAAGATGTGGCTCTCTCTATATTTTTATAATTGTTGATCAATTGCAGACATTCCTTCTCATGAGCTGGCAACTTGTGTCTACTGTTTTAGTAAAAATTCCTCCCATCAAACAATCTGATACATAAAACTTTATGTGGTATTTCTTTTAACCCTTCCGGTAATTTAAGAGACCAACATCCCATGTATTTTATAAATGAAGAGTTGGGTTCAGGCGTTAGGTTACTTGTCCAAGGTCATGTGGTTAGTATTGTGGAATCCGAATTAGGATGTAGGTTTGACCAGAAGGTTAAACCTATCTTCTTAATAAATATGCTGTTCACATTATCTATAAACACCTGAAGTTCACCAATGTGATAAATGATGTTAGTGTTTCCATAGCACTTTGTCTCTCCCAGAGCAGTAATTGCAAGGTGACAAAGCAACAGAAACAAGAATCTGATTATCTTTCTAGATACTTTGCTTCAGATTGTTGAGAGATATCTGCCATTTTCTTTTTAGGGAAAATAGTAACTGAAAAACTGGCCTTGAAACAGAAAGTGTTCAATTACTCTGAAATTAAGAAAAATAATTCTGTTTTTTAGTCTTTATACTTTCTACAGTATAACAAGTTGAAACTGGGCTTCACTATTTTCACATCACTTTCAAATGTCAGTATCAAACTATAGTAACAACAGAAGTGTCTTTAAGTGAGAAGGTTAGCAGGACACTGCCCTAAAACCTAACTTTTGAGAAGGCTGAACTGTAAAGCTGTTCCAAAACCAGAGATCATACACATTCAAGAGGATGAACAATTTGACTCTGAGGTGTAAGCCAGATCTAAGATTGGAACTCAGTTGTTGACTTTTACTTAGCAATAGATATTTAGTGAGAATGGTATTATTTTAAAAAAAGAAAGAAAGAAAGAAGAAATCAATTGGCTAGTGGTAGTAGCCCTTAAAATTTTCATGGAGACCTGGAGAGCATTGGTTCACAACTACAGTGATCTTGCCCTTGGCAGCCATGTTAAGGTGTGTATAAACATTTTGAGTGGTTAGAATGGATGATGCGAAGTTCCTGGCAACCAGTGTATTGAGGCCAGGGCTGTTGCTGAGCTTCCTACAAGGCACACGACAACCCCTGCTACAAAGAGTATTTGGCCCAGAATGTCCCTAGTACCAAGAATAGGAGCCCTTACTGTAGGACATTGCTTTTCTAGGACCTGTATAATAAAGCAATTAACATCTAGTGAACATATACCTATTGTCTATCTCTATTAGAGTAAGGTATATGTTTTATTCAGTGCTGCCTTCTCAGCACTTACAATAAAGCCTGATAAAATGTTCAGTACCTACTGTTAAATGGATTAATAAATGAGTAAAAAGTCTGCAATCCATTTTACCGAAGATACTTTGATATTACATTTTAAAGTAATATGCCTTTGTTCCAGAATGATTGTAGCCATAGTATTCATGCATTTCATTGATCTATGCAATACGTTAATGCTGTCATCTATTAAATCTCCTGCTTGAAGTCGGTATGAGACTTGCCTATCAGATACTGTGTGTTCTTAGGAATCAGGGACAATATCCTCAGCTCAAACCTCTTGGCGGTGACATCTTTAAGCAGATGGTGAACTGATGAACATCTTCCATTGCTTTTATATTTTGTTTTACAGCAATAAATATTATAATATTGTATTGTATTATGACCTTTTAAAATATGTAATTATTGAATTAGAAAATCAGTTCTCTGTGAAGTTTTCTTATTATTAGCCTTACTTCCATCATAGCATCCTGTCATCTTTTTACATTTTGAAGAGACAATCCCTAGAGTCAAGACTGTTTCTCTGCCTCCATTCAAAATGAAACTGTATCATGTGGATAGGAAATTTCTGGTGTTCTACATTTTTAAAAAAACAAACATTTTAATATTTTAGAGTAGTTTCAGATTTATAGAAAGGTTTAGATCTTTTAGAATTTTAGAAATTCTAGAAAATTTTAGAAGAGTCTAGAAAAATTAAGATAGTTTAGATCTCATGTATCCTTTGCATATCTGGTTTCCCCTATCGTTAAGACTTTACACAATTACGGGATGTTTGTCACAACTAATGACCCAGTATTGGAACCTGATAATTAAAGTCCACATGTGTATTCTGTGGTAACCAAGTTTTTTTTTTTTTTATTAATTGCATTGCATTATGTGACACAGTGTTATGGGCACTGGGATTCCCCCCACCCCTCCCCGAACCCTCTCCCCGTGGTGGATTTCTCTACCTTGCTGCATTCAATTGACAGTAATAATGAAGTGCAACAAACACTCATTAAAATAGGAAGTATCTATAGCTTTTTAAATTATTGTCCAAGATCTTGCTAATTGCAGTGAAGCATGAAACAAATAAAATGTTTGGTTGTTGAAAATTAGAGATAAGGTTTTGATTAATTGCAAAAACAATGTGTACTTTAAATCTGAGAAGTCTTAAAAATACATTTAATAAACCAATTAAATAGTTATAGTTCTTTTATGTATAAACAAGGTTTGTACAATAAATGCCAACAAGGATGTCAGGGAAAAGGTACCCTAATCCACTGTTAGTGGGAATGTACCCTTAGGGAAGACAGTGTGCAGATTCCTCAGAAATCTGAAAACAGGCCTGCTGTGATGACCTACCTATTCTACTCCTGGGAATTTATCCAAATGAAATGAAATCAATGTATAAGAAAGTTTATCAGTAACCCCATGTTTATAGCAGTTAAATTTACAATAGTTACAATAGAGAACCAAAGCAGATGCTCATCAATCGATGCCTGGATAAAGAAAATGGTATATACACCATGGAGCACTACTCAGCTATCAAAAAGAATGAAAATATTGTTTGCAACTAAATGGCAGCAATTGAAAATCATATGCCAAGAAAAATAAACCAGTTCCAAAAAAGACAAACACATAGTTTTTTTGACCTGTGATAACTAATACAAAAAAACAGAGTTTATATGAGCAAGATTGACATTCTGGGATTGGATTATTTTTACTGCTTTTATACTCCTGAGGAATTGCAGGTCTTTTTTTTTTTTTTTTTTATGGTGGTGGAGTTTGTTTTTCTACTTGCTGTGTGTTTGACTCTTTACCTGATGGAGTGTTAAACCCACAATTGTGAAATAAAATGAAAGTATACCATTGTCGAAGGAAATGAAAAGACATTTTTCTTTTTTTTTTTTTAAGATTTATTTTTTATTTTTATTGGAAAGGCAGATATACAGAGAGGAGAGACAGAGAGGAAGATCTTCCGTCCAATGATTCACTCCCCAAGTGAGTGCAACGGGCCAATACTATGCCGATCCTGAAGCCAGGAGCCTCTTCCGGGTCTCCCACGCGGGTGCAGGGTCCCAAAGCTTTGGGCCGTCCTCGACTGCTTTCCCGGGCCACAAGCGGGGAGCTGGATGGGAAGCGGGGCTGCTGGGATTAGAACTGGCGCCCATATGGGATCCCGGGCGTGCAAGGCAAGGACCTTAACCACTGCGCCATCACAACAGGCCCAAAAGACATTTTTCAAAAGAACAAATTCAAATGGCTAGACATGAATATGTAAAGATGCTCGGGCTCCCTAGCCATCAGGGAGATACAAGTGAAAACCACATGGCGATTCCACTTAACTCCAGTGAGAATGGCCTACAGTCAGAACTCTACTAACAATACCTACTGGCATGGATGTGGGGAGAAAGGCACCTTTCTTCACTCTTGATGGGAGTGTAGGCTAGTACAACCACTATGAAAGTCAGTATGGAGAGTGTTGAGAGAATTGCAAATAAACCTGCCATATGATCCAGCTATCGTGCTCCTAGGAATATATCCAAAGGAAATGAAATCTGCATATGAGAAAGGGATTTGTGATCCTGTATTTACAGCAGCACAATCTACAATAGCAAAGACATGGAAACACTCCAGATGCCCATCCAAAGAGGAGTACCATGTTATTTAACTCCATGGTGTTGTACACTTTTTTTCTTTTTACTTTATTTCTGTTATTGATTTTGTTTTATGGCTTTTCATTTACGGAAATGAATAGAAGCTGTGTAACAGAGACTATTATATTCAGACATGAAGATATGATGCAGTATATATCTCTACTTCCAAATCAAATATGGACTCCCAATGAAACTGTTGGATATATCTTGACAATAAGATGCTGGACTGTCTGCCATTGTCTGTATCCGCAGTATCAGGTTATTCTTAAATAGTAAAATGATGGACTTTCAACTTCTTATGAAGGACTATACTGTCGTAGTAATATGGGGGAAATCAGTGGGAGGGGAGGGAGTTTGGAAAGGGAGTAAGGGAAAATCCCAGAGCCTATGGAATTCTGTCGTAAGATTAAAAATGAAACAGCAGGGGGAGGAAAAGAAAGAATGCCATTGTAAAAAATAGGAAAAAGAAACATAAGTAAGGAGGATGGTGGGTGGGGATATACTACTCTGTTCCTAAGTCTGTATCATGAAATACATAAAACCTGTTCATTTTTATCTAAATGGGTGTCATATATAAATTTACATTTTATATAAATAAGTAGTCAAATCCAAGGTTTTAAAAATGTTTAATAAAACCAATTAAATATGAATGAGATCCCAATTTACAGTACCTTTATCTTCAGACAAGTTCATATAAACTCTTGTTATTTGTATGGATTCATCAGATTAGAGAATGCTGAGAGAGCAGTATCATAAAAACTAAGGGAAAGAATGTTGTAAGGAGGGCCTAATAGCCACGGTAAATGCTGCAGAGAGAGCAAATGCAGTGAATGTTTTGGAGTTCACTAGCTTCCTTTGGCAGAGCCATATTGATAAAGGGCGGGGGTGGTTGAAGAGTGAATCATTGTAAAAATTGAGAGAATGTAGGGCTACCCTTGCTTGAGACCTTGTGCCTTCCTTGTACCCCAGGTTAGCTGCGCCTGTTCTGGTCTCCCAGATGTGCCCTCACCAAAATCTTGCTGCTTCTCTTCCGGAGCCTCTAATTAAGCATTTGCTTGGTTGTTTGTTTTAACAGCTATGAAACCTACATAGTCAAGCCCCACAATGCTTCTGCTGTCCGATGTGTGATGAGGAAGAGAGTTTGGCTTTGGAGCGCTGGGAACCTGAGGCATCGCCGAGGACTTGGAGCCCAGCCCTGACCACTAGAGAGCCCACAACACAATGAACAAATTGAACTTCCATAACAACAGAGTCATGCAAGACCGCAGGAGTGTGTGCATTTTCCTTCCCAATGATGAATCTCTGAACATCATCATAAATGTGAGTAGATCCAGTTTTAGAAATGTTTAAACAGAGTTCTCACCAGTGACCATATTTAAGTCTCCGTTTGGTTAAGGGTGAAATAATTACAGAACAACAGCAATAATGCAGCACCATTGGTTCAGAAGGCTAACCAGGTATAACACATAACAGTATCATTTAAGTGCAGCTGCCTTCAACTTTCTCTCTCCTAGGGTAAACTAGAGAATTAAGGGTGCAGTATTAAATGCAAACACTGTTTTTAAACTTCCTATTGAAGTGTATGACCATTTGTTTTATATGCTTAAAAGTTGTGACCCACACACAAGAACTGGCAATCATTTCTAAGTTTTTAATAAGCAACTTAGTTGTTTTAATAATAGTCTGCATCTAGCCAGTTTCAAGGACGAGGGGTATAGGCTGTGCATTTGCGTCCCTAAGTGTTTCCCCCTGTTCTTTAGTTAACAGTCACCCCATTTGGTTAACCTGGACATTGAGGAGCATGACACTATATATATATTTTTTAACTTTTAAAAGTTGAGTTATAATTTACATACTACTAAGTATGGAAATATTAAGTTGCAGCTCAATGAATTTTTAATCCTATATATAATCCCAAGTAACCATCACCCAGCTTGAGGTACAAGCTTAACAGTATTCTGGAAAGATTCTTTTTGGCCTGTTATAGTCATTAACCTCCATGTAAAAGCTAACATCCACTCTGACCTCTGAAACCATTGGAATAGACTAGTTGTGCTTGTTTCTGTACTTCATACAACTAAAAGTATATGATAATACTGTCTTTTGTGCCTTAATTCTTTTATTCAACATTTGGCACAACAAATTTATTTATGCTACTGTATATGATAGTAGTTCATCCTTTTTCATTATTGTAAGAATAATCTCAAGTATTTCTTGATTTCTTCTTGGATTTAGAGTATTGTGAGTGGATCTGTTATAAATATTTATATGCAGATATGTGTGTGTGTGTGTGTTTTCTAGGTTAATACCAAACAATGGGTCTCTGAATCATTGGGTATACTTCTGTTTTGCCTTGGTATACATACCAAACATTTTTTGTAAAGATTTATTTATTTTTGTTAGAAAGGCAGATTTACAGAGAAGGAGAGAATGAGAGAGATCCTCCAACCTCTGGTTCACTTCCCAAATGGCCACAATGGCTGGAGCTGAGCTGATTGAGCTGATCTGAAGCCAGGAGCCAGGAGCTCCCTTCTGGGTCTCTCATATGATTGCAGGAGCGCAAGGACTTGAGCCGTCCTCCTCTGTCTATCTCAGACCATAAGTAGGGAGCTAGCACGAAGGGGGAGCAATTGGGACATGAACTGGCACTCAAATGGGATGGCAGGACCACAGGTAGGATTAGCCTGTTGAGCTACCATACTGGCCTCACCACCAAACATCATGCCTAACATTTTTTAGCCTTTCTCTGTATTATCAACTTTCATTTTATTTCTTTTTTTTAAAAGATTTATTTTTATTATTTTTTATTGGAAAGGCGGATATACAGAGAGGAGAGACAGAGAGGAAGATCTTCCGTCCAATGATTCACTCCCCAAGTGAGTGCAACGGGCCAATGCTATGCCGGTCCTGAAGCCAGGAGCCTCTTCCGGGTCTCCCATATGGGTGCAGGGTCCCAAAGCCTTGGGCCGTCCTCGACTGCTTTCCCGGGCCACAGGCAGGGAGCTGGAAGGGAAGCAGGGCTGCCGGGATTGAACCGGCATCCATATGGGATCCCGGGCGTGCAAGACGAGGACCTTAACCACTGCGCCACCGCGCCGGGCCCCATTTTATTTCTTTAACTTGATAGTATTTTGATTAAATTAGAGGGAAACTGCAATAATACATACCTTGAAATAAGTTTCTTTGCTATAATACTACAATATTTTCAGTGCAATAGCCATGTAACAAAATGCTTCTAAATATTATACTGAATAAGTGTAACACTTAGATAGCATGATAGCATCATTAGGAAGTTTAGACAAATTGTTTCAAGGAGGGTGAAATGGCAGGCTGTTAATTTTGCAACGTTTAATTATAACATATAAAAATTGGCAACATTTTAGTGTGAAAACTGGGAAAAGAAACCAAAATATAGTTCTGTATGCATGGATATGCTCTTTGAATTCTTTTTTACAGTTCTATTAAGTATAATCCCATCAAAAACTATAAATTCTTCTTACAGGGCACATAGCATGAACATTTATGAATCATTTCTCCATTGGTGGTTTTTCACCCAGCTCAGTGTATGCTGACATGTAAGCCATCGAACAAAATCTCTAACTGTAGACCAGTTGGGAAGAGTAATAACTGCTTAGTGAGCAGTCACTATAAAGTGACTGAGTTTTTGGAAAATCAGTTTGCACTAAAATCTGAGCTGAAGGAAATTACTTTGGGGAGCAGACAAGAGGATGCCTAGTCTGTTTAGGCCTACAGATCTGTAACTTCAGATCTTGAGTATACATCAGGATTATCTGAAAGAGCTTGTGAAGAATTGTTGAACATTTTCATTGAAAATGCTCATGTGGTAAGTTTAGGGTAGGATATGGGCATCTGCAGTAAGCAAGATCCCTAATCAGGGACCATGGATAATCTAGAGTCTTTACCCAGACAGGTAAGAGACCTGGATACCAGCACCACGTTGTTTAACTTTCCAGAACTCTCTTTATGAGGTTGTGGTTTTTGGCATCTATCAGTGCCCTGACCCTTAGGACAGTACATGATGCATAGTAAGCACAGAGCAAATATTGATCTTTGTTAGTAATATGATTATCTACATCATAGTTATAATATTATTCTTACTTTGATGATATAGATTACTAGGTTTCTGATCCTGGACAGATTGCTTAACTCACCGACCTTTTTCATTCATAAATCAATTTATCTAGTACTTGTGCATAGTGAGTCCTAAATTTGTATTAGTTTCCTTTCTTTGTGAAGGATAAATTAAGCAATGTAGCAATGAGGAGATACTGACACACTTAAAACATGCTACCCTGAATTCACATGCCGTGGTTTAATGGCTTTGGGTAAGTTAATTAAACTGCTTTCAGCTTTAGTGTTTTCACTTCTTATGTGGGAGTAATACTTGTGCTACATGGTGACAGAATTCAAGTTATCACACAAAATAATTTCTGACACAAAGATAATGGCTGATATTCACATTTCAATGCTTAGGCAGAGAAAGTGTATGCTTCTTTGGTTTGCTCTGGACAGGACTATGAAGCCATATGTCATGATTAAGGAAGGTGGTTTTAGAGTTACAGGGACCTAGGTTGACATCCCTTCACAATGACCTTAGCACGTTGAACACATTTTCCTCGCTGTTTTTTATTTATGGTGGGATTTTTGTTGTTCTGCTTTGTTTTGTTTTGATTTTCTCATCTATAAAGCAGGGTAATTTCCATACCACAGGGAAATTGAGAGGATTTAAAGATGTGGTGTGCATTGAGCTCATGTGTTGAGCAGCACTTGATTTACATTTCTTTCTTTTGAGTTGTTGGTTCATTTATTCAGGGTACTCTATTCATGAAATGAAAATGGAGAACCTGAGCCCAGTGTGGCTTTAAAATTTCTCTTTCCACAGTATAGAGACTTTTAAAAGAAAGAAGATTTATTTATTTGAAAAGCAGAATTAAAGAGAGGGAGAGATAGTCACTTGCTAGTTCACCCCTCAAATGGTCGTAACAGCCAGGGTTAGGCCAGACTGAAGGCAAAGCAATAAGCTTCATCTGGATCTTCTATGTCCACTTGGGCCGTTTTCCACTGTTTTTCCAGGTGCATTAGCAGGGAGCTGGATCAGAAGCTGGGACCCCAACTAATGTGCTCATGTGGAATGCTGGCATTGCAGGTGATGGCTTAGCCAGTGTACTACTGCACCAGCATGTAGGCTCTTTGCTGTGGCCAGACTCTTGTCCAATAGCAAGCAGTTGTATCAAAGAAAAAGCCAAGAAAAACAGATGGAGATTACCTTGTTAATAGCAAAGCAGGTAAAGGCTGATAAGACCCATTTGGGTTTTCCACATAGGTCTCGAGACCTAATTTCCTGAGCCATCATCTGCTGCTTTCCCAGGCACATTTGCAGAAAGTTCAATTGGAAGTGGAACAGTCAAGATTGGAACCAGTGCTCCGATATGGGATGATAATAAGCAGTGGCACCTTAACCCACTGCAGTTAGCGCCAACCCTCAAAGCTTGAATGATAAAAAATTAAGGCCAAAAGTTAAACATCTTCACTAAGACCAGAGGGAACAATTCTTTTTTCCCCTGGAGAATATTTGAAACATTCTTGCACAATAATAAACCATTGACACATATAGGATCCAGTGCTGCTTTAAAGTTCCATATACAGTGTATTTTTAGGTTAAAGCCTAAACTCTTTTTTTTCAATACCTCATACTTTGTAGCACTTTCTAAAATTCCTGTTGCTTCTGAAGATGAAAGAACTTGAGAAATTTCACAGTCAGTTAAAATATAGCTTTAAGGATTTAATACTGTGCAGATACAGAGAACTCAAGCTTATTTTCATAGCAGCTAAGACTTCAGGACCACAGCCTTATTTAATTATAGTTTTTAAATAACAGTGCTATACTACTTGATAGTTGTTAAAGAGTTTTATCAACTCAAATACTTGATTTAAACTAGCAGAACAACAATAATAATTACATGGGATACATGTAGGAAAGGAACAATGTGATTTGGCCAACAGTTGCTGGAAGTTGCACATAGTTTATTTTGTACACATTCAGTTTGTGGTTTGGAATTTTAATTTTCCATTACAGGTTATTTTGGTTGCTTTGTGCCTGACATTTTTAAATATAATCCAACTAAGGATTATAGGTGTTATAGAAAATAAGACATTTTAAACCTCACATTTGTAATGTATAAGGATACTTCAAGAAGTTTGTAGTAAATGAATAGTATCTGTTAACTCCATTTCCCCATAAACTTTTGGAAATTCCCTCATACAGTTCAACTTAAGGATTGTATGTGATATTTGATGCATTCTCCTTTTTATCATTCTGTTTATTTAGACTTACATTGAAGTTATGACAATATGGAACTCAAATTCCAGTCTTTAGTGAGTGTTAGAAATAACATAGGACATACAAAAAAAACTGGCTGGTCACTATACACCAACACGATGATAATTATTGTCATTGACGAATCTGTTCTCCATTGGTATTGATAGGTTTGCATTGCTATATTTTCCTGTATTGCTCAGTACACATTCATAAAATGCTTTGCTCAATGAATTGGAAAGAAATCAACCTTCGGGAGACAAAATACAGATAAAGAGTTCATAAGGAAACACATTCCTTGTTTTCATGCATGAAACATTTACCCAGTGTTTACTGTATACCTTGAATATGAAGTAAGGTGCTAGTCTAGTTCTGTTGAGTTCCTGGTACTTCCATGCAGCTGAGTTGGTGCTCTCAGTGTCTTTGACTGTTTCCAATGGATGGCGTGTTTTTCTGGTCAGTTGCCACTTAAATAGCAGATGTGAAAAAGAATAGTAAGCGCTTTCTTCTTGCTGTAGTTGGAATTATCACCAGTAGTAAGTTGCTTCCCTTTTAATTTTCAAGGGCTCTAGCATGTTTTTGCTTTTGTAATTTAGATTTCAAATTAATGTATGGTAGGGTTTTTTTAGAGTTAACTAATTCAGAATTTTAAAAAGGTTTTATTTATATTTGAAAGGTAGAGTTACATTGTGTTGAAGAGCTATCTGCATTCCTATGTTCATTGCAGCATTGTTCATATAATCCACATGAGGGCATACATAATGTGGTGTATACTTAACACAATGGAATAATATCCAGCCTTTGTAAAAAAAGGAGATCCTGTAGTTTTCAGCAACATGACTGAGCTGAGAACATTAGGTGAAATCAGCAAGGCACAGAAAGACAAAGATTATATCACGTCATATTTGAATTCTGAGAGTTCAAACTCAGTAACAAAGAGTGAAATGGATCATTAACTGAGACTGGGAGTATAAATTGGGGAAATGTTACTCAAATGTGAAATTTCAGTTAGGGGACTAAATTCAAGAAATCCTGTTGTGCGGCCTGGTGACCGTAGTAAATAACACTGTGTTACATGCATACTTCAGAATTGCTAAGAATGAGTTTTAGCTATCAACGAAAAAGATAGGCCTATAAAGTTACTTATGTTAATTAACTCAATTTAGTCATTTCACAATGTATGTATATATAAGTATGTTGTCTAGTATAAAGATATACAATCCTTACTTGTCAGTTAAAAACATAGAAACATACTTATTTACTTCTCAAAGATTTATTTATTTATTTATTTATTTTGAGAGTCAAAACTACAGATATATAGAGAGAGATAGATCTTCCATACACTAGTTTACTCCCTAAATGATGCAGTAGCCAGCATTAGGCTAAGCTGAAACCAGGAGCTTCATCCATTGTCTCATGGGTGTGGAAGAGTCTCAAATATTTGGGCCATCTTCTGCTGCATGTCCCAGGATATTAGCAGGGATTTGGATCAGATGTGGAGCAGCCCAGAACAATGCACCGACACCCAAATGGGATGCTGAAGCGCAGGCAACAGCTTAACCAGCAAATCACATACCAACTATGTTAAACATAGAAATTTAAAGAAAAAAATTGCCAAATGAATAGTTTTGGCAGCTTAAAGCAACTATTCTGAATAAGTGCAGAAATATTTGAAATCCTTATCTATGCATCCTATACCATAAGATTCTTCTGCAGGATCAAGTTGGGACTTCACCATTTATAAAAATTGGTGTTGTGATAGTCATTACTAAAGCAAAGCCACTGATTAAAGTGATTTCCACAGAGTAATGGTTGTTTTGCTGGGGTTGCTTGTCCTTTCAAGTTGGATATTTACAAAATGCTAAAATTTTCTGATTATGGCACACTTGTATGTGTGGAATTGATTGAATTGTTGTCTTGACATATGCTTTTTTCTCTGGTAGGTTAAAATTTTGTGCCATCAGTTGCTGGTTCAGGTATGTGACCTGCTCAGGCTAAAGGACTGTCACCTCTTTGGACTCAGTGTCATACAGAGTAAGTCCTAGCCCATCTATGATGAATTTAGCCAACTGTCCTCGAGAAAATGACACCTGTCACCTACTTCATGAATATTGTTGCAAAACTGATTGTCCAAGTACCTGTAAATCTTTCTTCAATTTTAATTTAACATTAAGTTTTTTAAATCTTTCACAATGTTTCCTGTCATAGTCTGAACTTAAAAAAAAATCAATTTCTCTTTAGAAGACTAGATTTCATGTGCTCACACTTTTATGTTTCAATCAACATAGCTTAGCTTGTTTTTTTTCACCTTATATTCAGGAGATAGATGGAGACAGTAGTCATTTATTTTATAAGTTTGACATTAAAAAGAAATATGAGCATAATAAATATACTTTCCTTTTCAGGTTCTTATACTGTTGACTATGTAATATAACAATGGATTCCATTCACTTAGCTTTATTTTTTCATTTTCTTTCTTACTCTTTGCTTTTTTTTCCAGTTAGACTATATGATTTTGAAACAATGGAGTCGTTTTCTTCTGCATTCCTTATAGGGAGAAAAATTTTCAAGTATAGGACTCCATGTAAGATTTCTTCTCCCATAATGTCTGGTGAGAGATAAATTCAGAACTTAAGTACAACCCATCCTTACCAGCTTTTTTCCTTTAAAATGGTTTTTAATTTTGTCTAGTCTACTAAGCTCATTTTGCTAAAGAAACTTTGTGAAATGTACATAGTTGCAATATGTAATTGCAGTTTATGATTGTGGATTGTTTTTTAACACTGAAATTGGTTTCACTTTAAAGACTCGAGAAGTCTTACAAACTTGACTAATGTTATAAAGTCCTCACATCTGCCAAGTTGGAAAGTGATGGGCAAAACCTCTTCTCCAAGATGTGAGCCCCTGTCAGGTAACCCTTCTAAAAGCTGCCCAAGAATGTGGAGAAGGGAACAAATAAGTCAGGACCCTACAGGAATCAGCCCTTGGCTCTTCCTATGATGCTTGGCTAAAATAAGAACACAAAGGCTCCACACAGCCCATTATCTCCTGGGAGGACCCAAGAGCAGTAGGAAGTGCTATGGACGTTAAGTCACCTTTGTTAATATGTGCTGCAAGTTGCTCCCTACTGCATCTGCATCCAGACTGATAATCTTTGTTGTTCAACAAGTCGGGCTAAAAAACCCAATTTATAGATCTTTAGGTTTCAAAATAAGAGTTTTTAAAGTTGATGTTTTGCAGGAGAGCTTGTAGCATGGTGTAAGAACATTGACTATGGGATCTGATGACCTGGTTTTAATTCTGGTTCTGCCACTGCCTGGCAAGGTGTCTTTGGGCATACCACTTAATTTCTCTCCCTGCCATTCTGTTCACATGTCAGCTAGAATCTGCTGATCTGCCAGCTTTGCAGAAATTTGATGTGTTCTTGAGATGTCTTCAGCTATAGCTCTAGCCAGACTGTTAGGTGGTAGAGATACATTGGTTGCAGAAAACCTCCGTATGCCTCTGCAGTGAGCAGTCCCACCTTTGTTCCGTGTATTAATTCAGATGGAGCCCAAACTAAACACAAATCAGAAGCAGGAGGAGAGTTGTTTGGTTGTATCCATTTTGGATTTAGTCAGTAACTAGAAAACGGGAGATAGTTAGTTGACTTGATAACTGGATTTAAGTAGCATCTCCTTGTTTGTCTCTAGGACCTCTTGCTTCTCCATGTCATTCAAATGAATCAACTTAATGTGCCATTTATAGCCACAGCATGTTTTACTCTTCCTGTTCTGTTATGGCACTCTTCCAATCAAACCCCCATATGCAGCCAGCAGTCAGCAGTGCAGCCAAGTTTGTTTATCCTTGAGGTTGTCAGAGACACATGCTTTCTAAAATGAGCATTTTTACAGAGAGCTTTCCATGTCCCCTTGGTGACTGAAAAAGGACTAGGTTTATTTTAAAACAAATTTTTTTTAAAAATGTAAAGCTTTGTGCTCAGTTGGAATGCTGAAAATCTCTCTTACAAGATACAAATCTCTCTGAGATACAAAGATTCTCTTTGGAAAAATCCAGACATTCTTGGCTTTTTGCCAGCCTCTTGTCACTTAGATTACTTTTAAATAAACTTTTAAGACTTTTTCTCTGATCACTTTATTAACATCATTCCCCTGAGGGAAAATTTTCCTGTTCTTGCTTGTTTCTCGTAAGATACCTCTCTTCGTAAACTGGATCCAAAAACAGCGTTAGTCGTGGTTTCTCATTTTGTCAAGTTGTGCTTTGATGTGGGGAACACAGAGCAAGAGGAAAGACCACTTCACAAAGTGTGAGGCTTCTCCCTTGGAGATGGGCTGTTCACATCCGTGGTTCCTGGTGCCTCCCATAGCACTTACGGTGGCATTTCTGTCCTAGTTCATTATTCTGCAGCTGTAAGAACAATCTTCTGTGACTCACAGCAGAAATCTAGTGTTTTCATATTTCAGACTAAGTAACACTCATATTAGACACTAAACTATACTGACCTTAGAAACTAGAGACTGGCATTTCTTCTGAACATTACACAGTTAGAGAAGTATACCTGTTTTGTCTTGTAAAAGCAAAGTAATTCATAAAAGATCCATATCTAGGCCAAGGAACTTTCATATTTTTTGTTCTGTTCTCTTAGTAACGTGTAAGTTCATGTGAAACTTAAAAAAATGTGTTTCTTAATATATTCTTTACTTTTAAAAATATGTCCTTTTAAAGCATTTTTTCTTGTTTTTAATGTACAGATAATGAACATGTGTATATGGAGCTGTCACAAAAGCTTTATAAGTATTGTCCAAAAGAATGGAAGAAAGAGGCCAGCAAGGTACGACAATACGAAGTCACTTGGGTGAGATTATATTTATAAGCAAAATATTTTGATTTTTAAGAAAATTATTATTTTAGCTGTTACACTTTAGAACAAAGCTTAGTATTTATGAATTAGAAATTAAGAAAGGGAAATGAATCATTCTAAAATGTCACCTTAATTTACTATTAATAAATTGTAGCTTACATATTCTTGATGCCTGTGGCTATGTTGTCAAAACCAGTGTTGTATAAGTTAGTAATTTCTAGATTGAATTGTACTGCAATGACATTTTTGCTCGTTATTTTATTATACTGGTACTTTTATTTAGTGAACCTCAATTCAGTTCATGCAGAACAGTCCCAAGAAAGGTACCCAAGAAAGTGTTGCTAGGATTATCCTAGTAAGCGTGGAGTAAAACCCTTTGGTCTAATCCTAGATCCTCCAATTTGTGTTTAAGAATTCTTGAAATAAACGGGAAGGCTGCTTCAAAGCCAACTACAAAGAAGGGAACATGAATGTCTAAATAAACAAACAACATATTAGAATTCGGTATGTGGAATGTCAGAGGAACAAGGGGACATTTGTAATGAGAAGCAAATGGTCACCACAGGGGACAGAGCTGAACTGAGAGCTGGCTCTCAGCTAGAAATTTCCATGACATTTATTTTTATCTTCCCTTATGTTGTGATTAGCATTGCTGTGAATGAGATTCAGATAGAGGGATGGTGTTTTCTTGGCTGTAATTTTCTGATTTTACAAGAACCTGGTGTGCTTATGGGACAGCTGTCTACCCACTAGTAGCCTGCTCACTACATGTAGATAAAGTGTCTGAGTGTTTTTAAAAGTATCCAGCATGTAATGGTATTTTGCTTGCTTTGTAACCTGTCTTGAAAGGAACTGAAAATGCCTTGATTTGTATGTGTGTCTTTGTTCCAGGGTATTGACCAATTTGGGCCTCCTATGATTATACACTTCCGTGTACAGTATTATGTGGAAAATGGCAGATTGATCAGGTAGGGGACAAGGAAAGTCTATAAGCCTCTTTTCCCCCATAGCTTGCTTTTTTAAATACACCAGTCAGCTACTTGTATTTATTGTTTGTCTCCCTCTGTTTTGATATAAACTAAAACAGAAGTGAAATTTTCTTTCAGTCTTTTAATGCATGCACTGTGTCCTCAGTCCTTAATGCAGGAGTACACAATAGGCATTCAAGTATTTGTTGAATGAATGAATGATACTGTTAGACTCTCTATGGAAATGTTAGCAATAGCATTCACACACATTTTCTGTGCTCCACGTTTTTCATAAAAATATTAGCCACCAAAAAATTATTTCTTTCCAGAAAGAATTTGTGAGTTCGTGAAGAGTAGAATGATAAATTAAAAATTACATTCGTTCCTAGTAGTGGGGATGGAACATGGGGAGGAACTCACCTATAAAGGAACACAGACAAGTGTTTACAGAGCCTGGTTTTCTTTTCACATTGGGTTGTTTTTATCATTACCAGTAGCTTTAAAACTAAGATTAGGTCTCCATCGGAGCTCTCCTGTGAAAACCTTAGCTGCAGATTGACAGGGGCAGGTAGTAGCTTTCTTTTTCTCAAGTTTGGTGAGTGCTCATCATTTTAGAAGCCCAGTTAGTCATTTGTGTAGGAGAATTTTATGCTAGAAACTTGGCTGGGTGATTTTCTTGGCCGATAGAAAATATTAGAAATGTGAAGCTGTGTGTTTTATTTTTCTTAAAGATTTGTATGTTTTTAATTTGAAAGGCAGATTTACAGAGAGAAGTCTTACATCTGCTGGTTCGCTCCCCAAGTGGCTTCAGTGAATGGAGCTGAGCCAATCCAAAACCAGGGGCCAGGAGCTTTTTCCAGGTCTCCCACATGGGTTCAGGGTCCCAAGGACTTGAGTCATCCTTCTCTGCCTTTCCAGTCCTTAAGCAGAGTGCATGATCAGAAGTGGAGCAGCCAGGACTGGAACCAGTGCCCATGCCAACCCCTGTGTGTATTGATTTTTAAGCTTTGAGAAGCCTTATATGATAGAAAGATGTAGCTAATGAGTTATATGTAAAATTAGCAGTACTTATATTGTTGTGTTGCAAATTAAAAAGCAAAATGTATCAGCCTATAAACAGTTTTTAGGGGCCAGTTTTGTGGCAGGATAGATGAAACTACCACTTGGCAACACCAGCTTCTGCTATCCAGGTTAGAATCTACTTCCAGTCTGTCTCCCTGCTATCATGCCTGGGAAAGCAGCAAAGAAAGTGGCCCAAGTATCTGGATTCCTGCTACCCACTTGGGAGAAGAAGATGGAGTTCTTGGCTCCTGATTTCAGCTCAGCTTAGCCCTAGCTGTTGTGGACATTTGAGTTAAACCAGCAGGTAAAAGGTCTTTCTTTCTGCCTGTCCCTCTCTGTAATTCTGCCTTTCGAGTAAATGAATAAATAAATCTTTTTTTTTTAAAAAAATGTTGTTAAGGGCTGAAAATTATAAATTTGACCATGCTTACCTGGTTGTTAAAAAAAGAGCCACTAATTAATCCAGCTGGGATGGAAATGTTTAATTCATCCCTGTAACTTCTGCTTTTTCTTCTCAGGGATGAGCCAGTATATACAATGTGTGGTTAGTGTTATTAAAAGACATGTTCCAAAAAGTACTCTGATCCAAGGGAGTGGCAAGGGGGAACACATAAATGCCTTATGTTTAAGCTTTCATGTTTAACCATGGTGTTGGTTTTCTTTTTTTAAGTGTATTTTTATTATCATCCACTAACGAGCTATGACTATCAGGTAGACAGGCAAACTAAATCGATCAGATAACCTCATCAAAACACACAAATCCATGCTCACTTTTTTTTTCTTACAGTTTTATTCTGATCATAAAAGCATCCTCTATGGAGCTTGGACGTATTTTTCCGCAGTCAGCATCTCTCTCAAGACGTGTAGTGAGGATTGTATTTATATGTGACCTTTGTGGATTGTAATGAATTCACTGTTAGCATTTCCTTTTATAGGGAATATCATGATGGTCATGACACATGCCTGTAAAATCGCACCTGCAAATTCATTTCCATTAAATTGAAAATAAGAAACAAATTTAAAGAAAGCTTTTCAATTTGATTTTTCTTAAAGAAATTAAAAAGTGGAGCATTCTGGTTAAGCATATCTTTTTTCTAAAAGGGCATATAAAGATTTTTCAAAGAACCATAGGATATTTGTAGTGTACTCAGCAAAAAAAAAAAAGAAACAAAACAGGGCATCAAAACACTCAAGCTATGACCACCCCTCAGATTTGTCATGTGTGTAGTATTTTAGCGAATTTATTTCAATATAGGCAGCACAGATACCTGGGCTTCTGTTCTAACGCTTGTTCAGTGAAGTAATAACCATACTGGAGTGGGGTAACTCAGATCTTGTTTCCTTCTCTGAATGAATCAAGTCTTGGGGAATGCTGTTGCTGCTGTCTGAGTAGTCTTGAGTTGGAATTCCGACCACCTGCAACCTCAGTAAGGTCAGCAGGTAGAAACTGTGAGATTGCCTCTTTTTCCAAAGAGGGAGACATAGAAACACAGGGCTGTTGTCACCAGATCAGAGCAAGATAGAGATTCTGTTTATGTGCCATTGCATTGTTTCATCAAAATGTGTGTTCTGTTTTCTTTTCCCAGTGACAGAGCTGCAAGATACTATTATTATTGGCACCTGAGAAAACAAGTGCTGCATTCTCAGTGTGTGCTCCGAGAGGAGGCCTACTTCCTGCTGGCAGCCTTTGCCCTGCAGGCTGATCTTGGGAACTTCAAAAGGAATAAGCACTATGGAAAATACTTTGAGCCAGAGGCTTACTTCCCAGCTTGGGTAAGTCCTGTTTTCAAGTCCTAGCTGCATCCTATAGCACTGTCCAGGCTCATTATGTGCTGCTACCAGAAAGGGAGCACAGAGATTCTGTAGCCAGTGAAATACTTCCTGAGGCCCAAATAGACACTGAACACCTGAAAGCTTCATGACACCATCTGGTACATTCATTCTGCTTCTACCTTAAGGGGAAAAAGGGATGTGATACGGAACTTCCCAGCCCTATTGTGCATTCACATGGCTTCAACTTCCCCATCTGCTCTTTCTGGAATACTGTTCCCCCCATGAAGAGAGCAAAGCATTACTCTTGTTGAGGGTAAGGTTGTTCACAGCCTTTTCTATGCTCTGACCTCCACGTTATTCCCTTCAGAACTCCAGCACGGTGTTCGATGTTAGTCCAGCTTAAGTGACTCACAAACACCTTCTCCACCCTTTCCTGTCCATTTCTCTTCACACCCATACTCCAATCCCTACTATGTCTGTCTCACTTAGCCTTTAGCCTGTTCTCAAGCCTGTTCTCTATCTGTCCTCCTCAGATAGAACACATGGAACATGGCTGGCTGTTGTTCTCCTGTCCTTGGGAGCCAGGAGTTGTCGTTTTTTGCCTTCTCTGCAATGGGAAAGCTGCATGAAACAGTCATGAACGTTGGATTTCTTCTAGCTTCTTCCCACAGGCATTCCTTAAACTATATCTACCTGCCAGGTTTTCCCACCAGTGGCCTGAGTTCTACCGCTGCTCTTGATCCCTTGTCACCTCCCTCTTGGAAGACTTCATCCAAATTAATGCTTTTAGCCAAATCCCAAGTTTCATTCTCCACTATGTCTGTAAGGTAGCTCTTCATCTGTAGGCAACATAAACTCAAAATGTCCTCCATCAGATTCTTCTTCCCACTTGGATTCTGTGCATTCCTTCCTAATCTCAACAGGTGGCTCTGTCCTGCACATAGTCACTCAGAAACTTGACACTCAGAAGGAAAGTTCCATTACCGTGATTCTCCTTATCCCATCCAGTCAGCCAAAACACCCTCTAACCCAGACAACGTGTGTATCCATCACTTGGTTTGAGAAATGAAATTCTCTGCCACTCGTTTTGCCCTTTACTTTTCTTTGTATACATTGCTTCCACCAATCCACACTTCCAGCTCTAAACGTACTGCAGTGCTGTTTTGGGGGCTCTGCCTGCTGTAGTCCAACTCCACAGCTTCCTTAAGAGAAGGTTGTGCTCCCTATTGAAGTGAAGCCCAGGTTTCCAAGCATGACCTGCAGCCTGTTGCCCCCATAAATTCTGTGTGTTTGCTAGCACATTCCAAGGATGAGCATAAATGGAAATTCTGCTTTGCCAGCACTTTATATAAGGTCTTGTTGCCCAGTTTACAGAGCTGCAGTTGGAGAAGTCACAGGTTGTGGACGGAAGAACTTTCTCTCTGTCTCTCCTCCTTTCTATATATCTGACTTTCCAATAAAAATAAATAAATCTGAAAAAAAAAATCAGTAAAATCCCAAAACTGTAGTGAGTTTTCATAGAGTGTTTAAATGAAAATGCCTGAAAGTATTCAAATAGAGCATCCAATTCATCCTCTTAGCCAGAAACAAAATGTCCTCCCCTCTCTGGAGTAATGTGTAGAACCTCCCACACATGACTGAAATTTTGGGAAAACAGTGATTTTTCCAGAACCTGAAGGTTTACTGGCAGTAGAAGACTTCTGTAGTACCTTTATTCTTGCAATGGTCATCAGTGATGTCTACAAAATTATGTGCATTTACATGGAGCACTTTCCCCTGACTGAAGCCAAGCTTACTAGTATTTTTCCATTTCTTGTGAATATTCCTCCTAGATCCTTATGGAGTACTGCAACTAGATTTGCTTTGTAGTTCCCAATGTTAGCTGATTCAACCTATTCACAACGTAACACATGGTGAAAACAGAGTGAGAGTGGGAATTGTCTAGTGGAAGCCAGCCAGTGTGTGTGGCCTGTTTTAAATTCTTACCCTTTCATCATTTCCGGAGCGAGGGGAGTGCTTGCATCTCTCCAACAAATGTTACATTGCATACTCCTCTATCCCAACAGGTTGTTTCCAAGAGGGGGAAGGACTACATCCTGAAGCACATTCCAAACATGCACAAAGATCAGTTTGCACTGACCGCTTCCGAGGCACATCTGAAATACATCAAAGAGGCTGTCCGACTGGATGATGTCGCAGTTCATTACTACAGATTGTACAAGGTGCGTCACTGCCACTTATGAGAGTAAAAGTTCCATCAGGTTTTCAGTTTTGTGGGAAACTGCTGCTTTATTTTCATATTTTTAGCTGATGTTTGTTACCACAGGTCAGTCTTGGAGGCAGCAAGGTTTTTTGCCTCAGGCTTGGAATTAAGAATAGACTACTTGTTAATGGTGCTAACAGAGAAGTCACATTTTAAAGTTGGTGTTCAGTAATTATAGAGTAGTTCTGTTTCTCCTCCCCACATCTGCTTTTCTGCTTCAGGGAATAATGTTTGTAACTAGTTTAATAATGATGCTTAATAATCCTCAAAGTGAAGCCATGCCTGTACTACATCAGTTAATTATAAGATCATGACCAGAGCCACCAGCTCCTATGGAGTACTGTGGCAATAAGTGGCAGATTTGTTCAGTCCAGACCTCTAGCTAACAGAGCTTGTGGACCTCTGCCATTGTGCTTCACTCTGAAATTCATCACTCTAGTGTCCTGTGTATCCCAGTCTGTTTTTGCCATCCTGACATAGAGTTGCACACCCAAAGAACAGCTAGGGACCATGCTTTGTCTTCAGTCATGGACACTGCCCTTGATCTTGTTTTCACTTCCTCCCAGTTCCCCACCCCACCCTGGTTCACAAGTGCCAATTCATTATTGAGAATTCTTGAAGGATACTCTCAAAACTAATGTGTAAACTCCAGGAGTTTATGTAATCCATCTGTGCTGGTTTTCCCTTGTTAAATGGGGAAAATAACATATCTGCCTCTTAGGATTGTGGAAGACTAAAAGAACTCCTGGTAAAGAGTGTTTGGACAGTTGCAGCACAATGGAACTCCCTGTTAGCCTGCAGCTGGTGACCATTGCTGTTAGTCTGTTCCCGTCACCTTGTTCTTTGAGGCCAGATTAGCCTACCCAGACCAGTGCAGGCTCATGTTTCAGTGTACTGCTGGGCAACTTTCTAAACAGGTTAGGACACCAGATAGTTCAGGAGTCAGTGTGTATGTTTCCACTCTTCTCATGCCCAAGAGATGCTCCCTCATCTGTTCATTCATCGATGGATAAATTCCTAAATGATTGATATGTTGTGTTTTGTTTGTAACATCTCACTTTATATAAGAAAAAGCAAATATCTGAGATTTTTGACAAAGAGTTTACATATTAGAAATGAGTAATACGGAATCAAGATGGCGGAATAGGGTAAGGACACATTTAAATGGCCGGAGAAACATTTAATCAGGATGAATCAGAGAGGACACATTCCAGAAAATAGGAGAGGACAGAGCAACAGCAGAGGGGTACCTGGAGACTGACAGACACAGGAAAGCAGCGGACACAACGGTGTGGCATTGCAGTGACTGATACTCCAGCAGCATTCAGCTAACAGCAATATGAATTCCACCAACAGCTGGAACTCCACCAGCAACCAGGTGGGAAGGGACTTTCACTAGGAGTTTCGGAGGTGAACCCAGATAAAGAACCATCCATCCAGCTGCTCCATTTGATTTCACAGCCCAGTCAGCCCCCTAGAGCCAAATTGGGCGCCATTTTGCATAAGGAGACAAAAGCAAGGGGAAGGACTGAGCATAAACTGAGCTAGGAGTAAACTCATTTCTGACTCGATGAACTGCAGCAATGTGGCATTCTACAGGTTCCACCCAAGACAGGTCTGGGTAGCCCTCAGACCTGATGACCAGCAGATCAAGAACTCTAGTAGTGGTACGTCAGGTGACATTTTGCGCACTGTGGCAGAAGCTTTAGGACTACAGGGAATAACAGTGAGCTGTGCATGTGCTGAGCTCGGCAAGAACTCACTCAGTTCCATGGATTGCACTGGTCCCAAAGGAAAATGATACCAACTGTGGCATTGTACGGGTAAAAATAGGTCCGTGTGGCACCCAGACCTAACATCCAACAGGTTCTGGCAAGATCAACACCACCAACAACCTAGCTATGTAGGACACCTGGTGTCTCCTTAATCCTGGGACCTGCTCCAACTGGAAGTGGGAGAAAGGTTGTACAGACAACAGTGCAGCCTCAGCATGGTATCACAGGAGGTAGAGATTGGTGGGCCAGGAGTTGGGGCTACGGAGTTCTTGGTGGAAATCTGACATAAGAACCCAGACCTGGAACTCACTGAAGGGGGTGACACAAGTGGCTGCAAGCAAAGAGTTGTGTACCAACTGCAATAAGTAAAATCAAACTGTAGACCTGTGGGTGACAGAACTTAGAAACCTGCCCCAAGGAGAAGACTCTGCTAACCAGAAGTACAATGACCAAGAGCAAAAGAAGAGACAAAGGCCAGTGAATATTACTGAAAACTCCCCTGCAAAGGAGCAAAACCCTATGCCATCTCAGAATTAGCTGAGAAAGACATCAAGAAAATGAGGGACACAGAATTCAGAAAACTCATTTTAGAGCTTCTGATCAACAATGAGATGCACATACAAGAGTTCAAAGAATTTGAGGAATATGTTATACAAGAAGTAGCAGCAATAAAGTAAATCAAGGCTGATGTATCAGAAATTAAGAATACAGTAGAACAAAAAGTACAGTGGAGAGTCTCCAAAATAGAATGAAGTAAGCAGAAGAAAGAATCTCAGAATTGGAAGGTATTTCCTGTCATCAGGGGGAAGCAAACAAAAAGCTGGAAGCAGAGCTGGATCAGGACAAAAAAAGTATTCAAGAATTGAAAGACACTATTAAGAGACCAAATCTAAGAGTTATGGGAGTCACAGAAGGTGCAGAAAGAGAAGCTGGTTTTACAAATATATTTAATGAAATAATAAAGAAAAGTTTCCCTAATCTGGAGAAAGAATTGGGAAACAAGATCCTGGAGGGACACACAACTCCCAACAGGCTTGATCAAAAGCGATCTTCACCAGGACACATGATCATCAAGCTCCTTTTAATTGAACATAAGGAAAAGATCCTTAAATGTGCACGTGAAGAAAATCAGTTGACATATAAAGGAATGCCAATTAAACTCAGGTGATCTTACACAGGAAACTCTACAGGCAAGAAGAGAATGGAGTGACATATTCCAGATTCTAAAAGAAAAAAATTGTCGGCCTAGGATAACATACCCTGCAAAGCTTTCTTTTGTCTTTGAAAATGAAATAAAATTCTTCCACAGTCAAGAAAAGCTAAAAGAATTTGTCTCTTTCAAATCTGCCCTACAAAGGATACTTCAAGATGTTCTCTTGACAGAGAAGAGGAATAGCACCTACCAAAACCAAAGGCAAATGGGAAGAATATCCCAGTAAAGTGACAACAGAAGACTAAACCAATGAACAACCCATTCCTAAAATGACAGGAGCAAAGTACCACCCATACATATTAAACTCTGAATGTAAATGGCTTAAGCTCAATCAAACATCATATATTAGTACATTGGATTAAAAAACAAAACCCATCTATTTGTTTTCTAGAAGAGACACACTTCCACCAACAAAAATCAGCAGAAACTATATCTCATGGGTTTTGTTATTTTCTGTTAGTTTCATCTCTTCAAAACACTTTCTTATTAAAATATTCAGTGACTCATAAATCATACACTAGCATCATTTTCTTCAAGAAGGTTCTTGATTTTTATTTCTTCAGCTCCATGTTAGGCATTTAGTAGCATGTTATTTAACTTCTTGGTGTTAATTTCTTTTTTCTTCCTGATGTTGATTTTGTATTGTGGCTTTCATTTAAGGGAATGTATAGTAGCTGTATGATGGAGACTGTCATATCTAGTAACATGTTATTTAACTTCATGGCATTGTAAATTTCTATTTTCTTCCTATTATTGATTTTGTATTATGACTTTTCATTTGAGGGGATGTATAGTAGCTGTGAAATGGAGACTAACATATCCAGATGTGAGGATACAATGTAGTATGCATCTCTACTTCCAGTGATGGACTTACAATGAAACTGTTTACTCTAATTTGATGATATAATGCTGGACTCTCTGCGATTGTCCATGCCTGCAAAAATGGACATATGACTGTGTATGAAGAATTATACTTTAGTAAGATATAGAGAAACTAAGTGGGTGGAGGGAAATTGGAGAGGGGATAAGGGAAATACCAGGAGCCTATGGAACTGTATCAGGAAGGAAGGAAGGAAGGAAGGGAGAGAAGGAGAGAGGAAAGAAGGAAGGGAGGGAGGGAGGGAGGGAGGGAGGGAGGGAGGGAGGGAGGAAGGAAGGAAGGAAGGAAGGAAGGAAGGAAGGAAGGAAGGAAGGAAGGAGTAATACAGCGGAAAGACTGTTCCTTTAGAATGAGGTTTCTGTTAAAACCCTGTGTCACTTCTCACTGTTTCGTAAGCTACTTAGGTTGTTGTAACTATAATCCTGAATCATTTATGAATATTCAGTGGGAATGATACAATGTATGTCACAGGGTTGAGAGGATTTGATGAGATAATGAGTCTGAAATAATGAGGTAGAATATCTGGCATATTAGTAAGTGCTCAGAAGTGTGTATTGCTTCTTGCTTTATTTGCTAGGGAAGTTTGCTATTTTTAAGACTTCTATTTAAAACTAAGAATCTGGGCAGGCATTTGGTATAGACACTGGTTGGGACACCTGCCTTCATTCCATAACGGTCTGTGTCCAGGCTCCACCTCAGAGCTGACTCTACTAATGTGTACTTGGGAAGGCAGAAGATAATGTCTCTAGAGCTGGGGTTCTTTTTCCTCACAGGGGAGATTCAGATTGAATTCCAGGCTCTTGGCTGCAGCTTGGCTGTTGTGGGCATTTAGGAAACAATCCCATGGATGTTAAATCTACCTTTCCCTCTGTCTCTCTTCATCCCTCTTGTTTTCTGTCTTTCAAATAAATAAATCGCTTGGGAAAAAAAAACTTTCCTACTAGAGTAGATATCCCAAGTATATCTTTTTTTTGTAAAAATTATTCACATTTGTTTAAAATGAGATACTTCCTACGTTGCACAGAAATTGACTCTAACCTGCTTTTTAAAGCTATTTGATGGAAATGTCAGGAAGCAAAATGAGGGAATAGGTAATATTACCTGATAAGCAGTTTTTGTTCGTTGCCGAAATCAACGGACAGTCATTAATTCTGGCTTCATTCAGGGGATGGTTATGTGGAATTGAGGCAGACGGAACATTTTGATAAGAATGCTGGATTCCCCTTTCTCACTCATGTGCACCTGATGAGTGAACAGCTAGCACACTCAGAAGTAGTCTTCTTTCAGAAAAGAATTAGTATGGTCTCAAAAGGGGAACTGGCAGAGGCTAGCAAGTGATGGATGATTACTCCTCTTAAACCTTAGATTGTATGTGATTTTCTTGACATGAAAATACAGGTGTATTCCTTGGAGAGAAACAGCCCAAGTACTGAAAATAGGCTACGTTTCCTCTTTCTTATGCCAGGTGAAGATGAGTTTTTTCCCATGCTCATGGAAAAATTGACAAGAAATTGAACAAAAATCTGAATATTCATTGTTTCATTGAGAAATCTTCAGAAAAAGATTTTAGTTACCTAGGAATTTCATTTACCTTCTATTCTGAACCTCACACCTTATATAAGGCTAAAAAGATGAGGATTTAAATCCTGTATCCAAATTATAGAGTGCATTTTTAATGATACAATTTTTTTTCTTAACGGTTGTGGTTTATTCTTTACAGCTTATGCTTTGGTGGAATTTGTATCATATGGGCAAGTAATAACCTCTTGAAGTGATTATTTCTAAGCTAACTAAATATAAAGCTTTTGTAGCATTTTTATTTATCCTCAGGGAAGAACCTTAAATGTTTAGTCATTTGCCTCTAGTTCCCACTCCAGAGCTGGGAGACTTGCCCAGTTTTAGACATATAAAAACCGATGTGTCTCAGAATATGCTAGGACAGTAGATCTTAAATTGTAACGTATGAGAAAAGAGTAAGTATAAGATGCCAAGGTAAATGTTGCAAAAACAGCACAAAAATAATCTTGTTTACAGGAGTTCTAGATAATCTGAGTATTTAGAATATCACCAAGTATAAAAGTATGTGTAACTCTAGTGGAAAACACTAAAACTCTGACCTTTCAGGGGAATGAAAAGTAGAACGTGTGTGCCATCACTGGTGGAAAATGTGCTCATGATTTTCTTAAATATTGTGGGAGACTAAGGATGTAGAAAGACATGAGCCAAGCTATTTTTAAGTCATAAGTTTTCCAATCCTAAAATTTCTCTGGGTTTTTTGTTATTGTGGGTAAATTATCCTTGTAGAGGAAAAATCTGCTTTTTCATAAAATTGTATTCCTACAGGATAAAAGGGAAATTGAAGCTTCACTCACCCTTGGATTGACTATGCGTGGAATACAGATTTTTCAGGTTAGTAAATAAAAAGTACATGCCCACTGCGTTTGTACCATTTGCTAGGTAAACAGTGAGCCTGTGTGGTCCTACCACAGATCCACAGTCAGTCAGCGCCCCTGGCGAACACAGGTTGAATAGAAGGTGGGGGGAGTGATTCAGGCTGGCCCTACACAGTCACAGGTCCACTGTAACAGAAGACAGCAGCCAAAGCCTGTCCCAGACTCATCATTAACAGATCACTAACAGATCTTTGATAGCCAGATATTTCTGGTTTTGTGTCATTGTGTGTCTTTTAACTTGTAGAGCATTTATAACTGAAAACAAAAATGATGTTTCAATACAAAGTTTCTGGCTAGACATTTTAACTCCCATTTTACTTTTCTGATAGAACTTGTGCCTCAAGTTCCTAGTCCCTATCATCTTTTACAGGTAAAATGATGCAGTGCTATAGCCAGGTGCAGGAGTCAGGGTTTCTTCAGTGAGACATTGGGAAATATAAGGTTGTCTTAACTTAGATGCAGGCAGAACATCTGGTTGTGAAAGTCTGAGTGCCTTGTGGTATCTCAGCCCTCATCTTTTCAACGTTTTATTTATTTATTTATTTGAGGCAAAGGCCTGAAAGGAATGATTGCCTTGGAAGGGCCATTTAATGCCATCACTCAGGAGCAGAAGCTACAGGACTGTATCAGTCATCTTTTAATTACTATCTCCACTTTTGTAAAGAGAGCTGGGGACTGCCTTCTCATTTTAATTACTATGTTGTGTCTTTCTGGGAGAGAAGTCTGAGCCATTTTAGAGTATCTATCATTTTTTTCTGTTAACTCTGAATGTAATTGTTTCCACAGAATTTAGATGAAGAGAAACAGTTACTTTATGATTTCCCCTGGACAAATGTTGGAAAGTTGGTGTTTGTGGTAAGTTTAACGGACTTAAACATCTCGTGGATTGTTTCTTTCTGTTAATTTTTTGTCTTTTGTTTTAAAACCATATTGTCTTACTTGAGGTTTTAAAATCTGTAATTATTTGAAAGGCAGATAGACAGATGGAAACAGAGTTTTGTTCATTGTTTTACTCTCCAAATGCCCCAACAGCCGAGGCTGAGCCAAGCTGAAGTTAGGAGCCCAGAGCTCAACGGAGCTCAGTCTGGGTGTCCTACACTGATGGCAAGGATCCCGTTACTTCAGCCATCACCCACTTCATCCCAGAGTGTGTATCAACAGAAAACTGAAGTCAGACAAGGGCCAGGACTTGAACCAGAGATGGCAGCATCCCAGACAACGTATTGCTATACTGAATGCTGCTCCATGGCAGTTACTGTTCAGAAGCTGAAGCTGAAGTGGGCATCATGGTACTGCAGGCCAAGCTACTGCTGCTTCGGATGCCTGTAGGCCATATCAGGATTCCTCGTTCTAGTCCCAGCTACTCTACTTCAATCCACTGTCCTCCTGACATATCTTGTGTAGTCGCAGAGAATGGGCCAAGTACTCCCTGCCATTCTTGGAGAAAATCCAAATGGAGCTCCTGGCTCAAGACTTCAGCCTGGTCCAGCCTACTGTTTTGAACATACAGGACGTAAGCCAATGGATAGCAGATCTTTATCTCTCTCTGTCTCCTCCAATTCTCTGTTTCCCCTCTGGTACTCTGCCTTTCAAACAGATAAAAATATTTAAGTAATTTTTAAAGTTGAAGTTGAAAGCAATTTGTTTTCTTATGTTATGCATATACTGTTGTCACTAACATCAGTGGGGAACTCAAAATCAAAGAATTCTTATAGCAAAATAAATTACTGATTTTAATTTTTGTCTGGTCTCTGCCATACCACCTAAGTTACCATAGTTAACCAGGAAACATGGAAAAAGTACAAGATAAGTTCATCAAATGGAATTATCACAAACACACACACACACAGACATCCCACAGCAGAAGGAATAGCAAAAGAAGACTGTAATCACAGGGCAGATTCTTTAGTGTGGGGCTTGCCTGGTGCTTTGTGAAGTTACTGCTTTGTGAACAAAGAATAAAAAGTAATATAAAAAAAGATGTTTCTAATAATAGCTTTGTAAACTCATCATTATAAAGAAAGGGTTACAGTTGTTAACAGAAAAATACTTTTATTTTAGAATATTGTTTATTTGGCTTATTATTTTTAGAAATAATGCTTTCTCTTTTGTTAGAGCAAATTCATGTTTCTTTTTTTCCAGCTGTTTCTCTGCCGCCTCTATCCATGTTTTTATGGGACTCAAAGGGTGACAGATTAGTAATGCATATATCTGGTGGTGATCCTGCTTTGTTCAGAAATCATTTTTTAAAGCTGCGCCTGAGGCTGGCGCCATGGCTTGACACTTTAATCCTCTACCTTCAAGCACAGACTTCCCGTAAAGGCACTAGTTTGTGTCCCAGCTGCTCCACTTGCAATTTAGCTCCTTATGGCCTGGGAAAGCAACAGAGGATGGCACAGGTGCTTAGGACTCTGTACCCACGTGGGAGACCCGGAAGAAGCTCCTAGCTCCTGGTGTCAGAATGGCTTAGCCCCAGCTATTGCAGCTACTACTTGGGGAGTGAACAGGCAGATGGAGTATCTTTTTCTCTGTCTCTCCTTTTTGTAAATCTGCCTTTTAAATTTAAAAAGTCACTTATCTTTTAGAGAACTTTTCGTTTTTCTCTTCTCTCTCTCTTTTAAGCTCAGAGATAGAGAAAGATCTTCCATCTTCTGCCTCACTTCTCAGATGCCCACAATAGTTGGTTCTGGACCAGACTGAAGACAGAAGCCCAGAATTCAGTACAGACCTTCCATGTGGTACAGACCTACCTGTGTGGGTACCCAGTTATGTGAGCCATCTGCTTACCCGAGTGCTCGTCACACCCTGCTCACTCTGAGCTAGGACTTGGACCCAGGATGTGGGACTCCGACTCAGGCACACAAATATGGGATGTGGCCAGTATAAGCACTGCACCAAAGCCCAACTCTAGCCCAGGGAATTTTAAATGGAGCTATCTGTATCTATTTCTGAATCTGTACTTTCCCTTACTAAATAGAAAGTGAAGTGAACTTTGACAAATGATTCTGACTCCTGAACTGGATTCATGTTTTCCTTCCCCAGGGGAAAAGATTTGAGATTCTGCCTGATGGCCTGCCTTCTGCCAGGAAGCTCATATACTACACGGGTTGCCCCCTGCGCTCCAGGCACCTGCTGCAGCTGCTGAGCAACAGCCACCGCCTCTACATGAATCTGCAGCCCATCCTGCGCCAAATCCGGAAGCTGGAGGAAAATGAAGGTATCACACTGTCTGGGTGGGCTGTGCACCATGCTTTTACTGCTCATTGTGTCTCCCACTGGAGCTGTCCTGAGCCTATCATGAATGGAATTTGGGGACGGGAACCCTCTAGAGTGAGAACAGCACTAGTGTTGCTACCTCAGCACCATGCCAGAAGTCAAGGGGGCAAGTTTAGTTCTGTCTGCTGTAGCACCTAAACACTGTATCTGAGGTCATCTGTATTGCATAGCTACTTCTTTGGCCCAGGTGGCCAGTTTCTCACTACATGACTTGGTAGAAGCCATCCTGTAAACGGAACAGGACAGGGTCTCCCTATGTGGTAAGTGTCACCTGTGTCTCAGAGCCCTGTGCATACACTGGCCCACCTTGTGCTGTTACCCACAGTGTTGCTTACGTTAAAGGGACAGTGAGGGTTTGTCCCAGAAGTTTCTCTGACATCTCTGGTTGATACTTGAGAGGCCTTTAAGTCTGGCCCAGCATAAATGATAAGGATTTTGTGAGCCAGTCCTGTGGGACTTGGCTGACATGCAGAGGAAACAGTGTAGTCCATCTGGGGCCATGTCTGACCAGTTTTGAATGGGAATTCGGATCACCCCTTGCCTACAATTTAATACTCATCCTCTCTTAAACAAACTGTCCGCCTGGGGGGGAAAAAAAAAAAAACCAAACCTCAGGTTTATGTATCTGATTGATTTGTCTGAAAAGCTGTCCCTCCATCCAAATGAGACCTCATTTGGAGGTTCCCCTGTAATTTAGTAGCGATTAGAGCATGAATCTACCTGTCACTGAACTGCATCTGTCCCCCAGGAGAAGTGATGTAACTGTCAGGTGTATTGGCTTCTCCTGCTGCCAGACTGCCAGCTCTTCTCCCCGATGACTCATCGTTGTCATAGGTTTGTCGTTGCTGTACTGACAGGAACATTAGAAGGAATTCAGTTGGAGCCAGAAAGCACCAGGGAATCTGCAAGGCTGGGTGACTGACTTAGGCGCAAAGCCCGTCATTTGCCAAGTCTGCCTCTTTTCTTGGTGCCCAACACTGCACTTGGCAAAGTTCATTTACTCCGTCAACACCCCCCCCCCACTCCGGCTTCAGTGCTTCAGTAAATTCTCCTTTAGCTAACCTTACAAGAAGCCCTTCAAAACCTGAGCAAATTAGTGAACTTCATTTATGGGTTCCAAAGTGAAGTTGGAAAGAATTCCTGCTTTTTGGAAGGAAAAGATTTTGCTTACTGCCAAGCATAGAACCAGGTATATTTGAAGGCTTGCATGAACGAATGTCTTGGTCTGTTTTGTGCTACTATAGAAAAATAATACCATAAACTGGGAAATTTATGAAGAACAATTTTTGTGTCCTCACAGTCCTGGAGCCTGAGAAGTTCAAGACCAAGGTTCCAGTATCTCACATTCTTACTTTATTATCCCATTGTGGAAGGAAGATGGGCATGGAAAGGGTTGGAGAGATAGAAGAAGGAATTCCCCTCTCCCCATTACTGCCTCACCCTGACAACAGTGCAGTCCATTCATGAGGACAGAACCCAACCCAGTCACCTTAAAGGTCCTATATCTTAAAGTTGCTGTAGTGACAGCTAAACCTGAATGTGAGTTTGGAAGGCAGCATTTACACCATGGCAGGAGAAAAGTAAAAAAATACTGAAAATGTACACGAGTGCTTTTACATGATGGAAATGGAGGAATGGCTTCCTTTTCTCCTTTCCAGAGAAAACATGCCTAGTATCCTCTACTTAGAAGTAACACCAAGTCTGAAAATGGCTGGAGACCAACTTTTTCTGGGCCAACTTTGCCCTAAATCTACTTACCTCACCCACACTAAAGATCTTTATAGTTCTGACAAGAAAAACCGTTTTGTTTTGGTGTTAGTTTAACATTTTAAAAAAAGCGTTAAAAAGTTAGTATTTTTCTTCATTAAATTTCATATAGAGTCACCTTGCCTTAAATACTACTTTAGCCTTTTGTAGTGGAAAATAACCCACAATGCTTTCATAGGGAGTAGGAGAGAGGGAGAAACAAGCACTGTGGCATTTAAAACTGTGCCCCCTGTTCTACAATGTTGGCTGTGGATACTGAAGGCCTATGTCAGGGGACTATAGTGCACTCTCACTGTGTGACAGCCGCATGATGTAGGAGACGCCCATGGCGTCTGCATTTTTAGACACAAAGAGAGAAAAGGACACAAATACATTGGTCCCCTGACACCCGGGGAGGTCAAGTGGCACAGCGTGTTTCTTAGAGGAAACTTTAGAATGACTGAAACACTTCCCTCTGTTGGTATCTATGTGAAGCTTCTTAAATATTTGCACAGGGCCCAAATGATTGAGCACTGGGAAGGAAGCAGAGCCCACCACGTGAGCTGCTAAGGCTCAGCCAATGTGTCAACAGAAGAAGGGATTTACACCAAGCTCCTATTAGGTCAAGAGCAGGCGGGCAAGCACTCGTTTTCTCATGAGTATCCTGAGGCACGAATGGAAACTGTGATCTGCTCTGACGTATGAGAAAGTTCAGGACAACGGGTCTTGTTTATACTGAAGTAGAAAAGTTTTCAGATTGTTAGATTGCCTGGAACCACAGCAATAGGCTTTTGGCACAGGAGTAGTGTTGTCTTCCATGTCATGGTTCTTGGTTCTAGCCCTAGCACCTCCACCTCTGATTCACCTTTCATCCTGGGAGGCAGCAGGTGACGGCTCAGGTGTTTGGGTTCCTGACACCCACATGAAGATCTGAATCATGCTATAGGTTCCTAACCTCCACCTAGTCCAGCCCTGGCTGTTGCAGGCATTTGGGGAGTGAATTTGATGATGGAATTCGTCTGTCTCTGCCTGCCCCTTTCTTTTAAATAAAATGAAATAGGTAGATTAAAATATTTTAAATAGAACTCTAGAAATATAGACCTTCTTTTTTTTTTTTTTTTAAACTTTTTTCCTCTTTGCTTTCTTTCTCCAAAGGCTACAGGGCTATACCTTTGAGCTTTGAGCCTTCTGGTAGTGGGCACTACAAGAGAGTTTTGCAGCACCTGTTAGCAGGCAGCCTTCCTGCCCTGAGAACTGGTTGGAGAGGTCTGCCCTGCGCAGGGAGGGCTGCATTAGGCTCTGGTGTCAGGGACCAGCCTGCTTTCTGTAGGGCTGTGCCTTGTGTTTGAGCCTGATCCCAGTGATGGCAAAGTTGGGCTAGAGACCAGTGCTGTACGCAGCCTTTTGCATTCTGGAAAGTGTATGTTACCTTCTGCTTGGCCTGCCACCTGTTCCCTCCCAAGGGGGCCAATGGTGATTACACTGCAGAGCCTGATTCAGACACCAGGAATGCAAGTATGTTTACTTAACCAAGAAATAAGACAATCAGATCCATTAGCAGGCCCCTGAGAACTCAACTAGTCCATTAAATAGTAGATTCTGAAATAATACCATGTTAACAGTCCTCAAATGCACTGTTTTTAACATTGTTCTAATGTGTTATTTCTCATCAGTATTATAAAGTCAAGAAAGCTAAACTGTTTTTTTCCAACTTCTGATCAAAAACAAATATTTTTGTCAGCTCTATACCTGCTGCTCAGTTGTGGCTTTATACCTCAGTGTGAGGATGCGCTTAGTGTTTGATGGAAGGGGCTTTGTAGTATCTGCCATGACTTCGTTGAAGACCAGCACTGATGTTGAGGAATGATTTTGCCAATCAGAGGCCATGTGGGCAAGGAAGCCTCATGAAGTTCAGCTTGCACAGAGAAAAACTATTTCATATTCTTAAGCTGGAGTTCATGTTCTTCAAAAGAAAGTCTCAGAAGAGTGATTTCATTTTTTCACAGCAGCCCACAGCCAAGCTAGCAGGGTAGCAGACTGAATGAATGCACTGATAAAATCAATGGCCATTGGCATAATTACAGTCATGGAAGTCTCCTAGAGAAGTGCTCCTAAAATTATCCATGGAGAAGCACCAGGCATGTAAAATGTCAGTTATGCTGTGGAACAAAATACACTTCAGCATCACATTGTTCCTTCATTGCTCTGGAAGTGCCAAATGTTTTGTTTAAGCGTACCAAGCTTTGTTCGTGGTGGGAGCCATAAACCAATCACAGGTTATACAGAAGATCCTTTGTGACTGTGCTTGGAATAGTGTCCTTCCATAAGGCTTGAAACTCCCACACTCTCTGGGTAGCTTAAATACTCCCACAGGCCCATTGTGATTTTTATTCACTCTGTATTAGTTGAGTTCCTGCTCCCAGTCACCAGATGCTGGCTGTACAGTTTTGCGGCCCATAGCTTTTCTTCTGTCTTAGTTGAGCTCAGTGACGAGCTTTGTCCCCCCCTCCCACAGAGAAGAAGCAGTACCGGGAGTCTTACATCAGTGACAACCTGGACCTGGACATGGACCAGCTGGAGAAGCGCTCTCGAGCCAGTGGGAGCAGTGCTGGCAGTGTGAAACACAAGCGCCTTTCTCGTCACTCTAACACCAGCCACAGCAGCTCCCACACCTCAGGCATTGAGGCCGACACCAAGCCACGGGACACAGGCCCTGAGGACAGCTGTTCCAGCAGTGCACTGCACCACAAGCTGAAAACTTGCAGCTCAATGACCAGCCACGGCAGCTCCCACACTTCAGGGGTGGAGAGCGGTGGCAAGGACCGCCTGGAGGAGGACTCGCAGGACGATGGTAAAGGCACCTTCAACTTCCATCTCTGGTCTGCTGCTCTTGCCCCCTTGGCTTTCTCAGTTACTGATTCTGCAGAACTGTTGTCAGGGTTGCAACCTGGTAGCAAGAACAGAGCCATCTTGCCAGTGACTTGTTTGAGTTGCTTATATTCTGCTGTTAGCATAGCAGTCCCCTGTCATGATCCTTGGAGCCACAGGGGTCGAGTTAAACACAGGATGAAATGTCAGTAGAGAGTTAGTCCTGTACTCCTGTCTGTAACAGCGTTTCTGAATCCCAGATGAAATAAGGCAAGGGTTAGGACAGCAGTGTGGAGCACATAGACAAGTGACAAGAGCACCTTGAATTTCCCCCAAAAGGCTGAAGCTAACTAGTAAACTCTCAGTGCCTCCCATGTCACTGGAACACCTGACAGGTGGGAGCTTCCTCTGTGTCAGAGAAGAGACCTGTGACCTATATCAGACAGACTGGGCATTGGGCTATCTCCAGGGTGTTGTTGGTTTGTTTTTGTTTTCTGTCTAAAGTTAGTGCTTTGGCATTCAGGTGTGGGAGAAGGATAACAATTGTAGGAGGTGGGTTAGACTCCTGCACAGCTCAGCAGCTCTCAGATCAAATCACTGAAAGCCTCCAAGTTGACAGCTTGTTCGGCCATCGACAGCAGATGACCCCGTGATCATGGGGGGCTTTCTTCTTGAAGAGTAAGAGTTGATCATCAGATACTGGCATTAGGGGTTACATAGCTAACACTGCAACCCTCTGTAAAAGAGAACAAGAAGCACCCTAGCTGGGAATTGTTCCTGAAGCTTCTTGCTGAATTGTGTCATGAACAAAATCATTTGCAAAGCTGAGTAGCTACATGACTACCCCCAGAGTGTAGCTGGGGAAAATGATAGGCAGCCCCCTCCAGGTCATTAAGTGTCTTTTCCTTCTTCTGTGTCAGAAATTGAAATGTTGGTCGATGACCCCAGGGACCTGGAGCCCATGAATGAAGAGTCTCTGGAAGTCAGCCCAGACATGTGCATCTACATAACGGAGGACATGCTGATGTCCCAGAAGCTGAATGGACACTCTGGTGAGCTCCTGAGGGCATGACCATTCTCCAGTAGAGCTCCTGCTGGGCAGGAAAGCAGGTGCCTTGGAAGACAGCAGGAGTGAGCTGGGGGTTCTGCATCAGGCACAGGCCTGTAAGAAGAGACCATCCAAATCAGTGCCCTCGGCTCCAGGGTCAGGTTCTCTCCGTGAAAGTGAAGGGGCCACGTACCCACTCTGGGCATCAGTGTCTTCTACCATGTACATTGCAGTTTGGACCTTTATCTATTCACTTACTCACTTCACTTATTGTTGCTACACTTTACTACTTAAAATCATAGAATCATGTGATACATCCAGTGGGGGCCTTGGAGACCCTTCAGTCCTGCATTCTCCTTTTTACAGATGATGGAACTGTGGATTATGGAGGAAAGTGCTGTGTGGCTAGAAACAACAGTTAGATCTAAGGTTATTAGCACAGTTCCAGCACATAAAAGGAATTCATGGGAAATACACATTAGGAAAAAGAAACTACACAATATTTTCAAAATCCTTGCACCAAAATCGATTTTTTTTTTCTGTCCACTCACACGTTGTAGAAATTATACATTGAGGTGCCCATGAGGAGGGATAGGGGAGGCCATCCCATCCCCTCCATGCTTTTATGTATTTCTCTATTTAATGTTGGTGATGAGGTTGTTATTTTTGCATTTTTGTAAATTTAAATGGAAATAAAATATAAATTAGCAGAGTAGCTGTTTCAAAAGATACATATGTTCAAGAAAGTATTGAAATGTTCCTTAGTCTAACAGAAAAGAACGAGTGCTTAAGTCATACTCTATACAGTGGCCTATTATACAGCCACTAAATCAGAGAGGTGCAAAGAATATGTAGTAGCAGAAGAAAGATAGGGAAACAGTGCGAAGTATTTGAAACTATGTCCAAAGAAAAGAAAAATGTCTCAAAGGGAAGAAAATGCAAAATTGTAGTAATGCTTTCTCTGGATCCTAGTAGCAGGTCATCTGTGCCTTGCATCATCCTGACTTTCTAGATTCCCTGAAGTGGAGCAGGTAAACACTGCTCCTGAAGCCCTGAGCCCAGCTGAGGTAGTGTCACAGCAGGCCTATCTGGCTCCCCTTTTGCCGGTGCCGCGTCAGGAGCACCAGGCTCTTAACACCACCTTGCCTTGTGGCAAGGCAGGGTTTTAGTGAAGGTTGTACTGGCATGTGGCCACTGGCAGAGCTGCAGGAAATCTACAGTGACTCTACCCGGTGCCAACCAGTGCACAGGTCCATGCACTGTTTAATACTCTATAAAGAGAATGGTCTTTCTAGAGAGACACCCTCTACTAAAGCAGTTGGTACCAGCCCCCAAAACTTGAACATCACCTGAGAAGTTCTTAAACTGTACAAGTGAACCCCAAGTGGCTTCATATTTCATGTCTCAGTAATTACTGAAAGTATAATATATGCAGGGCAAATAATATACATAAGGTAAGTGTTGTATGTACACTGAATCATGAGACATTTCTGAACAGTAAAGCAGTAAAGACAAGAAGTCATTTCTGTAGGCCATGAGCAAGTGAAACCACAAAGATCTTGTCCCCCAGTTCTTTTTTTTTGTATAGTGGTATCTCAAGCTTGACCTATTCATGTGCCAGAAAACACTGCAGTGGTGGTCACTTGCAACTGCAGTTCTTGTCCACACTACCTGGTGCTTCACCCACATACTGCACACATCTAGGGAAAGAAGTGTCAGTCTGCAGTTCTGTTTGTGAGATTGTACTTTGCCCTGAGTGCTGAGGCAGTGGGGGACTCTCTTAATCTCCCAAACCCAGTGATGAATCTTTCTTGGTCTTGCTACAGTGAAATCTGTGTTATTGTGTCCCCATCAGTCAAAAAGAGATTCCACCCCTTTTCGTGCATTCCTTGTTGAATTATCATTAAAGCAGTCTTGAGTAGGTGCTGTGAGCATCCCATCATAACAACAGGAGCTTGTGACACAGACAGGCTGGGGAAACAGCCTGGGTACTGGGCCTCAGTCCAGCCCAGATCTGGCTCACACCAGAGGCCAGAGCCCCCAGTTCTGTCCACTGTACAACAGGCACAATGAAACTGTTCTGCATGGGATAAACTTTATGCCAGTGGTGATCGCAAATGAAGGGAAGTGAGGCTTTTGAGATGCAGGGATGAGACACCTATAGTCTGTCTTTCTAACTTCATAGGGTTCAGACTCTTAGCTCTGTCCCCCACTCTGACCCCATATTTCCTCATTGTCCTCTGTTTCCTGGAGAAAATAAACCATTTGGCTATGTAGCACCCAGGAGTCACAGGTGGCTCCTCTGCACAGCCCCCAGTGGATGTCTCATTGCTGATAGTTTTTTTATGTCAGAGTATGTAGCAAGAAGATCCAGCAGTATAGTATAGTGGGTTAAGCCATTACTTGTGGTGCCACCATCCTATATTTAGATGTCCATTCGAGCACCCATTTGAATTCTCACAACTCTGTTTCTGATCAGACTCCCTGCTGATGTGCTTGGAAAGCTCCAGAAGATGGCCCAAGTGGTTGAGTCCCTGCACCTATTTGGAAGACCAGGGTAGAGTTGTTGGCTTCACTTAACTCAGACCTGGTTATTGTCGCCATTTGTGGAGTAAACCTGTGGATGGAAGATCTTTCCCTCTTCTCTGCCACTCTGCCTTTTCCATAAGTAAATCTTTAAAAAAAAAAAAAAAAGGAGGCCAGAAGCGTGGCTAAATTCATCTGTTCATTGTTTTTCCCTCAGGATTGATTGTGAAAGAAATTGGTTCGTCCACCTCCAGTTCATCAGAAACCGTGGTGAAACTGCGTGGCCAGAGCACCGATTCCCTTCCGCAGGTACTGAGGAAATGGGGCATTTGCAGTTAGGAACTGAAGTTAGAGAAAACTTTGCCTAGCCATGTACATTTATGCTTACACAAGTGAGGGAAAGTTAAAGTCTCTCAAGAAATGATTCTTATCAGGCCCATAAATTATAGTTGTGTTCTCAGTTTCTTTTATTTTTCCTTCTTAGTTCCATTTCTGTGTGAGTTGCTTTTGACTCAGATGCATTACTACCTTTACATGGTTAGGAAGCCAGCGTGTGTGTGTGTGTGTGCGCGTGCGCGTGCGCTTGGGAGTGTAGGAGTGTCATGTGTGCTGATTGATCTCAGCAACCTGAAGAACAATCATTCTGCCTGTTGTGTCATGGTAAAAGTGTTTCCACACACTGATCATTCCATTCTGATTGAAATTCCAGAGTGTGCTGAGCTGAAGTGTTTGACAAACCATGATGGTGGGTGAACTCTGAAAATGTTAAATGCTATAGGTCCAAAGTCTTGAACGTTGCGGGCTCAGCCTTTGGACCTAGCCTGCAGCTGGTGCTGCCTGTCGTCCAGAATCCTCTCCTGGTCCCTGGGTCCTTTGATGGCTTTCTTTTTTATTTCCTTGTTGCACTCTCCAGCCACTTCTTTTGAACCCCTCCTCCCTTTTCTCTCCTCATCTGTCTTTCCTTTGTATTGCTTCCATTAAAGTAACCATAATGTGAAAATGAGGCTGAAGGATTTTTCTGAAAACTGCAGGAATCGCTAAAGCAATAGTGTGTGTAGCATGGTTACCTGAGTGATGGCTCCTGTGCCACTCTGCTTGGTGTACCCAGCTGCATCACTCACTGCCAAGCACCATAGGCCTACAGTTCCACAGCCATAGCGTGGGGAGAGCAATTGGTGCTTATCTCAAGGGCTTCTGGAGGTGGTTGAGTGGTTCTGAGTGGGAATCCCAGCTGGAGCCTGAGAGGACTGCAGCAGCACTCAAGGAATCCTCACAGGCTGGAGGTGTCCCTTAGATGTGACATGTCCTGGTAAAGTGTCATCTTGGAAATGTTGGGTCTAGCAAAAGCATGAAAGGCAGCAAAAGTTAGGTCAGTGATGCCTTGGCTGACTGAAGTGTTCTATGACCCACGGACACCTCCCTCAGGATTGCCTCTTAGGATTCGGCATCTCAGTATCAGCTGCGGGCTGGGTGGAGCACTTGGCAGCTTATGGCCTCTGCCTGTTCAGGAGCTGCCTTGCGGTCCTGTGCCTCCTTCCCAACACTTTCTGTACCAACAGCACTTTGTGTTCTGCGCAAGAATTCTGACTTTTAGAAAAACACTTCTTTTCAATGTATTTCTTGTGTAATAATTGTTTTGTTTTTCCATTTTTATTAAAATAGCAACCAGACCTCAGCAGCAAATAAGACAAATAAATTGAAAAATAAACAAATAAATAAATAGAACATTACTTACACAGTCGTATTTTAAGCTTATTGATTTCTGAATTGCTAGAGTATGTTGAGTTCCTCTTGTATTTATGAGTGTACCTTGGGTAATGTGTCTGTGAAACAGTAATAGCCACCATCTCCTGGAACTGTTAGAGTGATTAAATGAGCTAATACATGCTGAGCATTTACGGCAGGGCCTGGCAAATAGTGCATGTTAGATGATATTCTTATTGGTGCTGATGTTGATGTCTGTTTTGGCAGAAGCCCAGAAGACACCCATCTCCCACATGCAAGGGTTCCTTCCTTTTTCCCAGTGTCTTTTCTGGTTCTGCAGTAGCCTCTTTTGCCAGGAAGATACACTGCCCTTTCACATCAGTCTATTCTCTTAAAGTTGTCTCAACCTCCCCTTATTTTGCAGACTGTGTGTCGAAAACCAAAGACCTCCACTGATCGACATAGCTTGAGCCTTGATGACATCAGACTTTACCAGAAAGACTTCTTGCGCATTGCAGGTCTGTGTCAGGACACTGCTCAGAGTTTTACTTTTGGATGTGGCCATGAACTTGATGAGGAAGGCCTGTATTGCAACAGCTGCTTGGCCCAGCAGTGCGTCAACATCCAAGATGCTTTTCCAGTTAAAAGAACCAGCAAGTACTTTTCTCTGGATCTCACTCATGACGAAGTTCCAGAGTTTGTTGTATAAAGCCCATGTGTGGGCAGCCTGCTGTTGGCCAGCGGCTGTGGGAGTTATGGGTTCTTCCCCTAGTCCTTGTGCCATATCTTCTTCACCCCAAACAGCTCTTTCTTTATAATATTTGTGATGGAAACAAAAGCCTTGAGACAATTGCACTTTAAGTATTATGCAGAAGTAACATTACAGAGAATGTAAAGCAAGACAAGTGCCAGAAGTTGATGGATCCTTGGGAAGAAAATATGCTTTACTGGTTACCAAGCCTCTGGAATGCCAGAGCATGGTGTGCTTTCTTCGCTTGTTGCTTTTGAATTCAGTTGCAGTTTTCATCAAGTGAAAGGTGTTGTTTATTTGTATGCCTGTACATTATTTTTTTTACTACTCTCTTGTGAGACAAATGCACATGGTTTAAAGGAGGAGAGCTGGAAGATGGTCTCTTCCTCCAGAAGAGAGGCTGTCGCCTAGGAAACAGCCATTGCTGCCTCACTGAGACTGTTCCCAAGTGAACAAAGTGATCAGAATCACATGATTCTAAGCAAGCCAAAGATTTGTGTGTTATGGAAGCAATTGCTCGGAGACGGGAAGAAGTAAATGATGCTAAAGGGAAGACTGTATGCCAGGGTGCCTTGGGACTTCCTCATGCCTGGGTAGCACCATGTCCTTCTGCTGGCTCCTCCTGAAACTTCTAACATTGAGTTGATTTTCTTATCCAAGTGTCAGATCACTTATGTTTATGTCGTAATGAGTCTTGTGGATATTACAAAACCAGTGTCAGTCAGAATTATGGAAATGTCTTGGAAGATGTTCAGACTTAGGTTCAGACTTGGTGATATTTTATTTGTGTTGTTTTAATTATCAGGAACAATTTATAATAATGCTGGTTTCTGCTTAACCAAAATATCCTAACTCTATGTGTGTTCTACACATACAACTACATGGGATGTGTGTGTTGAGGTGTATTTAAGGCTTATGGACTCTTCATGTTAGCTTCCATGACTGTCTTGTATACGTGGGATTGCCTGTTTAACATAAAGCCTGCATTGCTGAGTTACTGATACGTAAAGACAATCAACTGATACATATAGAGTTAAGAATGACTCTTCCTTCATGTGCCTTTGGCCATGATTCTCAGCCCTGGTGGCATAATAGAGTTATTTGGGCATCTTTTAAAAAAATCAGTGTCTTGGTCTCATCCCAGACCAATTAAAGCCGGCTCTTGTGGTAGGACCCAGGTGGGACTCAGCCTTTGCTTTCAGAGGGCTCCCAGTAGAGCTGACCTCAGCAGGGCTGCAAACCACTGACCCTGAGGGTATTTTCTCATGGATTCTCAAGTGGGCATGCATGGAAGATGTCCGTGTGTGAGAAAGGGCCATTTTTAAGACAGATCCTGCGTGCTGCTGTTAAGACACAAGATGAAATCAGTCAGAAGAGAGTGATCACTTTTGGAGCTATAGAAAGAAAATGTTGCTCACACTTCAGGAGACTTCATAGCACAATGTCTTTCTAGGAGATGTTTTTAATGATTTAGTACTTTGCAGCATTTGTTTACCATATTTTGATATGCCATTTTTTTGTATCTGCCAGGTTTTAGTAAAAGGAAAAATATATATATTATTTTATAAAGAAACAGTCATATTTTTGTACAAAATTATGTTTTCAGGTAATAAAGAAATAGATTTGCGGCACAGCAAAACATAAGCAGTGTTACTCTGTGGCTGGGAGTCAGTGTTAGAAGCAAACAGTGACCATGAACGGGCCCCCGGGCCACCCTCTGCAGGGGCAGAGTCACCCGTGGAGCCGTGTCCAGCTGATTTCACCTGACACTTTAGTTAAAAAAAAAAAAAGTCCTGTAGCGTTATATGTACATGAAATTATCTTTCTTCAAATGCTTTTAAAGAACCAAAGTTTCAGATATCAGAATGTATTTTTGCAAAAAAGAAAGGTATCTTGGTGTCTATCTGAAAGGATGAAAGGAGCCTTTACTGACTGTCCCTCCGACAGGTTATTAGGGAATCTGCACATCATGGGGTGTCTGCACCCGAGGGCAGTGAATTTCCCTAGCCCTCAGTGTCTTAGCAAGTATAAAGGAAAAAGCGCTTAATTAAGCAGGTGACATTTTATATTTTATTTTCTTTGCTTCAGCCAGAATCAGGTCTTCAGGGTCTCGCCAGCATGATTGGTGGTTTTGCACGCCCTGTTTGTAATTGAATTCATTAATAACCTTGTGGATTTTTGAAAATGTAACATGGTAAAGAACATTTTCACTTTTTGACCCACTATTCGCAGCAGGATTTTATATCGATGTATATATATATACACACACATACAATTGTGTGCATATATAGATATGACAATTCACTTTGAATAGTCTGCATTTTTGTATTTGGAAATCGTTTGAAATAAAAAAAAAGTGTAAAGCTGTTATTTATTCTGTACTTGTTACATTTCCATGCGTGGTACTATTGTCCTGCACAGCCACATTTGTATCTGCAACAGTGAGCTTTATATCCACACAAACTGTAAATAATCCTTTCTGTGAAAGGATCAGCCTATCAGGATGATACCGAAAGTATGTATAAAAAAACAAAAACTGCATTCTTTTGTAATTATTTCTTACAGGCGTTTCATGGTAACTTTAGAGGTCAATAAAGTTTCTTTTTTTTTTTTTTTTTTTTGCTGTTGCTTCTCAAGTGTCTTTTTTGATGAGAGTTCTTGCTGGAGCCACAGCTGTCAAGAGTTAACTCAGTTTCTTTATGTTCCTAAAGAACCCCCTAGAAATCTTGTATGATGGAATTCTCAGCAGAGTGGCCTTGTAGTGGTGATGGTGAGAGCCACACCCAGGAGAGCCCAGTGCCAGGCCCAAGTTCATTTTTGTTCATAGGAGAATTGCATGTATTAGCTCACTTAATCTTCACAGCCCAGAAAGACTGTTGTCATTATCAAGTTAGAGTGGAAGGAACCAGAGTCAGCACCCTTCCAGTCCATAATTTAAAAGTCTGAGAGGATTCTACTTTTAAAGAATCATATTTTTAGTCAAAATACTTAGAGCCTTCATTGTTTAAGTATTACTTTTTATTTCAAAACAGCAAGTGGTTGCATTTGCATCAAGATGCTGACTGAGAGCCCCGTGGTCCAGTGAGAAGAGCAGAGAAGAGCAGAGAGCAGGATTCTGAGAGGCCTCAGCTCTTCTGGGGAGAACCCCGTTCATTTCATCAGTTTTCTTGGCTGTAATCTAAAGGGATAAGAATTCAGTGGACACTTAAGTGAATTAAATAAGCTCTAGTAGGTACAGCATGCTGTTGAATCTAACACTGTCTTTCATAGATAGAGTAAAGCTTTCCGGCCATTTGGAAGCATATAATCCAAACCAAAAGCTCTCAAGTGGGGCACAGGTCGGAATTTTGCATAGTACTTGGTAACATGCAGGTTAGAACCCAAGGAGGAACTACTGGTCACCTGCTGTGTGTCAGGTGTTAAGGCATATCGTGTCTGTGCCTCAGGCCTTCAAGGAGTTGTGGCCCTCACTTCCCAGCTGAGTAGACAGCTACACACACTCATCCTCCAGCTGGAGAGTGGTAGAGCAGAGTTTTAAACCAAAGCCCATATCCACTTCAAGCTTTCTTTTTTCTGCTTCCTACACCATGCTGCCCACTGCTTTGGGGGCAGAGGATGGGGAGCTCAGGGACTAACAGAGCAGACAGACTGCGTGCATAGTGTGAAATAAAATGTAGTGGTTTAGTGGCATTTTGAGCATCCACTGTGTACCGATGTATATGAACAAGGCATGTTGTCTCAGCATTCCTCCATCACAGGGGCAGAAAAAGGCCTGAGCAGAATGGGGGAAGAGAAATGGGCAGATCCGAGAAGGTGTGACTGGCAAGAAGGGCCCACCTGTCAGGAACAGACTGTCCAGGGAGAAGTGTGGTAGGGACCTGCATGTGTGCAGAGTGTATCTTGGTTTGAGTCACTGGCTAGCCTAATCCCAAAAGGCCTTGGGTGCCCAGACAAAGATGCTCTGTATCTTTCTTCATAGCAGGGAAGCTCTGAAGGGAGTTACCAAAGGAAAGACATGTCTTTGTAGGCTCAGAAATAGTGGACCAGTGCTTGCAGAAGGTTGGGAGGGAGCAGCAAGAAGAACTCCACTATGGCCATGACATCAGGAAGAACAAATAGCCAGCAGCCACATAGGGAGAGGGATGAAAGGCCTGGAGACTTCACACACACAGGAGTTGTCATCTCCTAAACAAGTTGAAGAAGTAGGCCATCTTCCTGTGCTTAGGAAGTCTAGGGTTAACTAGCAGTGTGTATTATGAATTTAGGTCTGCTCTGCAGGAATACTTGGGATATTAAAAATTGGTACTATGGATGTCATGGCTGTTAGTCTATAAGCCATGGTTCTCAACCCAGATGGTACATCAGAATCACCTGGTGAAGTTAAAATGATGCCCAGGACACTGCCCAGTGGTTCTCCAAATATTGCTAATGTGCATCAGGACCATGACCTCATGGTATGAGCTGAGCCTCAGTAATATAGTACAGCCAGGCTCTCTGCCCCCGGATCTGTGTGATTCACCAGGGATGGGGGAGGGGCATTGTTACCAGGACATGTTGTATTTTATCAGAATGACATCTTTGATTGATGAGACAGAGGGGGCGGTGCTGTCTGTGAAAGGTGCTGAGCTCAGATGCGAGTCAGTCTGCCCATTTCAGAGAGGAGGGTGTGGCATGCCTTTGGCTGGCTCAGGCTGCAGGTGGGAGTTATAGAGCAGTGAAATAGTTCAAGTCTCCTCCCTGACATGATTTTAACGGTTTCATCCCTTCCGTGCTGCTTTACACAGGCTGATCGCCACACAGAGACATAGTGAAAACAAAGCAACTGAAGTCCCCTCAGTTCTTGGGTTCTTCAGGTGTGTATTTTGAGTTTGTGGAGGAACCTGTCCTGAGAAGTCTTGCTCTGGTGCCATGAGCCTTGTTAGGGGATGAAGTTATAGACTCTGGAGATTTGTCAAAGGGCTGTACACATGGGCTGGCTATAATTAACTGCCTCAGTATTTGAGGTGGGTGTTTTCCCATCTGGTGCCAATTGCCATCAGTGGAGGTCTCCTTTATTTATCACTATCATTATTGGGGGAGATGGATTTCCTAGGAACAGACAGTTCCCAGCTGAGAACAGAATTACACTCCCAAGTTCGCTTCTAAATTGGTTGGTTGACATTTACAACACACGTCCCCAGTAGCCCACAAGTGCCTGTGTGAGACAGGGATATTATTAGGGATGATTTTTGTGTGTGTGTGTGTGTGCATTCTTAACCATCTGTCAAAGAAGAGGCCCACAGTATAAATATGGCAGGTGGAATCATCCCACAACCAGATAGAGCTGCTGCTACCCCATCCTGCCTCAGACTGATAACTCCATCTTCAGGTTTTGCTTCTAGAGGAAGGGGAAGAAAATCAGGCCAGCAGAGTAAGGAGCTCTCAGCCAGTTTCCATCCTGGAGTTGCAGTGTTACAGGCCTATGTATCCCCATCTTTATTCTAGCTCCTTTCTCTCCTACCCCACGCCAACAAAGATGAGAATTCAAAGCAGAAGCATTAATAAGATGCACCAGTAAGAGGAAGATTGATCTGATAGAGAGAAGAGGGTCAAAATGTATTTGCATGGGATCCTGAGCCACCCCACACAGTGAGATGCCTATCATGAGTGAGCCAGAGGATTGCCTATGAGAAGAAAGGAAGAAGGCCAGAGAAGGATCTTTAGGCATGATCAAGAACAGAAGAAGCCCCTCCCTATGTCATGCCTCTTTTATGAAATGGGGTGGGGGTGCTCAAGTTGAATATGCAAATGGGGTCGAATTCAGCATGCTGCAGGCTTTCCAGGAGTCCAACATCCACATGGCCATCATAGAGTCTCCTTCCTGGTCCCAGAAGAGATTCGCACATCATGGAAAGCATGGTGTACTGAACTGGCAACTCAGTGGGCAGAGACAAAGTGCAGGGCAGGTGGAAATGTCAGTTCACCCACTCCTACCCCATCTTCTTGCCTGGTCCATGTCACTAGGACAGATGTTTCTACTGCTCATCAGCACCCCAAACCCTAGACCACAGCTGCTGTCTGCTGTGTAGGGTAGGGTCGGGAACAGCTGGAGTTCCCTGCATCTGGAATGAAAAAAGTCTTCTAAACCACTGGGCGTCTATCAGAAGAGGTAAAGGCTTGTGGAAAATGGATAGTATGGGAGGCGGAAAGGGCAACTCATGGATTTCAGAAGTATTTTGTACCAACATAAACTTACCTTTTAACTAATTTGCCACAGACTTTTTGAAGTACTCGCATTATGAAGAGTTGCTTTGCTCCTGCCTAAGAAAGCTTCAAAAGCAAACCATCTTGAAAACTATTAAAATAAAAGTGTCATCACTTTAGAATTCTATACCCAGCAAAAATGTCATTCAAAAACAAGATAAAATCAGTCCTTTTTCAGGTATATGCAAGATAAATCCACACCTAAGTCCTCTGGAGAAATGTTCATGGAAGTCTTTCAGGAAACCCACACAAAGAATGGAGAGCCCCTGAAATGGTGCTATGGATAAATACAGATTTGTTTTCACATTTTAAATATTTCAAGATGTAAATATTTTTACAAAATCAACTATTTAAAACCAAAATTAAAAAAGAAAAAAGTGGAGTTCATTAAATATTTTTCCAACATAAAAAATTAAAAGAAATGTCTGGGGGCATTGTTGTGGTATAGCACGTAAAGCTACCCACTGCAATGCCAGCATTTCATGTGCACTGCTTCAGGGTCCAGCTATTCCACTTCCAGTCCAGCTCGCTGCTAATGCAATGGAGAATGGCCCAACGGTTGGGCCCATGCACCCACGTGGGAGACCTTGAAGAAGTTTCTGGCTCTTGACTTTGGCCAGATCTGACCATGGGGGGAAGGGGTGAACCAGCAGGTATAAGATGTCTATCTCCCGCTCTCTCTCTCTCTCTTTTTCGCTTCCTCTGTCCCTTTCTTTGTAACTCTTAAAAAACAATTGTAAAAAAAAAAAAATAGTAAACAATGTATGACTGCAATAAGATAATTACCAGGGAGGGAAAATGAAAGTTTGTTGTTGTCAGCCTCTCATGCTGTGTTTAAAGTAGTGTAATGTCAGTTGGAGATAAACTATAATAAGTTACACTATGAACTGTAAAGCAACCATTAAAAATATTTTTATAGGGGCCTGGCGTGATGGCCTAGCGGCTAAAGTCCTCACTTTGGATGTGCCAGGATTCCATATGGGCTCCGGTTCTAATCCTGGCAGCTCCACTTCCCATCCATCTCCTTGACTGTGGCCTTGGAAAGCAGTTGAGGATGGCCCAAAGCATTGGGACCCTGCACCTGCATGGGAGACCCAGAAAAGGCACCTGGCTTCAGATTGGCGCAGCTCTGGCCGTTGTGGTCACTTAGGGAGTGAATCATCGGGCAGAAAATCTTCCTCTCTGTTTCTCCTCCTCTCTGTATATCTGACTTGGCAACAAAAATAAATAAATCTTTATAAAAATATATTTCCATAAGAGGCAAAAAGGCAGAGGAATAAATGGGTCAAAAGATAAATAGAAATCCAAAAAGAAATGGAGTTGGTACACTTGTGTTTTTTAAATAAATATAACTTATGTTTATTGGAAACA